TTTTATTTTTGATTTACCTAAATTTCCTATTTCTGGAACTATTTTATATATTTATCTTGTTATGGCTTATTCAATATATTTCTCTTACTAACCTACACTTCTCTATTTATTTGGCGTTTGTTTTTCAGATCTTTTCAACTTATTCAATTTTTCATTTAAACGTCTAAAATCTATATTAACTTTTAAGATTCATAATTTTTGCACATAATCTAATACAAATATAATTATTTTAATTTCTACACATAATTAAACACAAATACATATACTATTACATACACACAGATTACGCATTCATGCGTATAACATGTGTACACACATATATTATAATACAAATATGTCCCTCACTATATGTCTCACGTAGATTATATATTTATATTTGCACAAACAATTTCTGATACATACACACATATCTGTACTTAAATACGGATATACAATTACACACAATATACTATAAATATAATTATTCATGTATTTATTCTTATCAATTCATATATCATTCATAATATATTTTTATATATATACACACAAATGCATAATAACGTGTATATATATACACTATACAAATACAAATTAGACATACTAATTATATTTATATTACATTACACATACATTTAAACATTCACACATATTGCACTATATATATACATTTACATAAACATATAATTTATGTCTCCGTATGAAATACATATAATTCTTACCTAAAGTGTGATAAAAAAAGATTTGAAAATCTTTTATGACTCAGTCTACAGTCCCCTCAGAAATTCAGATACAATTTGGATAGTTTTTCTCATTTATAATAAAAGATACATTATTTTACGAATAATTTTAGAAATTATATAATACGAAATAAGGAACATATTTTATCTTGGGACATGTAGTCCCGATCACCAACATCATCACGCGCTACCACACGCGTGTCACTGGAAATATCAAGCGCTGATGCCGAGATCAATACGCGTTGTCGCGTGCGACATACCAATAGTAGATCTGGTATTCGTACTTTTTTTTTCTTTTCTTCTTTTTTCATGTCTTCTTCTTCTTCCTCCTTTCCCACAACTTCTTTTTTTGTCCTTCCTCTTATCTTATTCTTATTCTTATTCTTCTTTTCTCTCCACCCGATCATGACTCTTATCTCTTTTCTTCTCATTCTTCTTCCAGTTACGAGTCCTCACGTCGCACAACTCACACGACCTTCCACCTTTTTTTTTTGCTACAGTGTCGCGCAACACCACCCGACCCTTCTCTCTCTTCCGTAAATTCTGAACTTAGCTCATGTATCACTTTAATGGGCAAACACCTAACCCTTATAACATACTATAGCCCGAGGTGGCGAAGAGCCGACATTGAGGTGTCAAACCTTCCCGTCGATGTGAACTCTTGGGGAAGATTAACATGTTATCCCTAGAGTAACTTTTATCTATTAAGCGACGATCCTTTCACCGGCACTGTTGGATCACTAAGGTCGACTTTCATCCCTACTCAACAAGTGGGTCTTGCAGTCAAGCTCCCTTCTGCCTTTGCACTCGAGGGTCAATCTCCGTCTGACCCAAGAAAACCTTTGCATTCCTCCGTTACCTTTTGGGAGGCCTACGCCCCATAGAAACTGTCTGTCTGAGATTGTTCCTTGACTTGTTGGTCCTAACACAAGGTTAGAATTCTAGCTCTTCCATAGTGGTATTTGATTAATGGCTTGGGTTCTTTATGATCCCAGAGGCACATCCCTGTGGCTTTTTTTTTTGTATTTTCTTTATTCATTTATAATTAATTATATATATATATTATTATTATTATTTTTTCACCCAGCTGGTACCTGGCTATTACATGGAGATTATAAATTAAATAAAATATTAACCAGCATATTTTTCAATTAGATTAAAAAAAAAAACCCTTCAGTGGAATCTTCAAGTGCAAAAAAGGCACGCTACCATAAAGCCCGAATTTGCCACGAGTTTCAATGATGTTTTAGGCCCAACATAGTCCTTACATGACCTCTTTCAAGCCGCCCAAAACGACGCCGTTTTTCTCAGCCTACTCCCGCTATAAATACCTACTAGCATTTTCCTTCGCTCTCTTAATTCTTCGCAAACCCTAATACGCAAAACTACAGGAAGGCAGCCAGGTGGCCGAAACTCAGATCCCGTTTCTCTATCCATTACCCGATATCGGCTGATGGCGATTGACAAAACTGATCCGAGCCCGCAACAGCCGAGCAAGCTGCGGTGGGGGGAGCTGGACGAGGACGATGGAGAGGATCTGGACTTCTTGCTGCCGCCGAAGCAGGTCCATGGACCGGACGAGAACGGGATTAAAAGGGTGATCGAATATAAGTTCAACGAGGACGGGAACAGGGTCAAGATCACCACCACGACGCGGGTCCGGAAACTCGCGAAGGCTAGGGTTAGCAAACGGGCCATGGAACGGAGAGGCTGGGCTAAGTTCGGCGATGCAGTCCACGAGGATGTTGGTAGTCGTCTCACCATGGTATCGACCGAGGAGATCCTTCTCGAACGACCTAGAGCGCCTGGTATATCTCTCTTCTAGCTCTCTCTCTCTCTCTCTGTATATGTATGTATGTATGTATACTATATATGAATATGGATAATGTTTATTTGCTGAAATTTTATAAATAAATATGTGGATAGGCAGGATATGTAGCATTGCTCTGGGTTTCTGCTTTCAGTTTGAGTGATTACAGGAGGTTTTGTTTTGCTTATTCGTTTATCAAGAGGGGGAAACTCTGGTTACTATAGCTATGACTTTGAAATGCTCTTTTTTACACCATTAGCTTAACTGCAGAGTTGGATCTTCGGATTCTAGGGATTAATTGATTTTAGACTTTATTTGTAGATTCGTTTTTGCGTTTGTGTTCGGGAAAATTAATGTTCATTCATAGCCTCTCTCATTGGACTAGATAGATATTGATTTCTCTAAAGACTGCAAATGCTTTTCTGTTATTTAAATTTAACTTTTCAAAATTTAAGCATTGAGTTTAAATAGGTTAAGGTGGCTAATTAGCCAATCGCATACTGGCTGCATGGCTGTAATTTTATGTGAATGGTCAGTACGCCCACCGATAACAGTGCTGTTGGTGCTCTTATACCAATGAAGCTGAACTCTAGTTTCATTTTTGGGTCACTAACTACATTCATAACATGTATAGTTCAGTGTACCTTGGTCTGTGCTGGGGATTTCGTTTTCCTTGTTTGGAGAAGTACTTTTGTGGTTCATTTGCGGATGGTGTCTAATAACCAATGACATATCTTAGCCCAATTTGACAGGTCGGTTAGTTCACCAAGAGCAACCCTTCTTAGCATCTTTTAACACTGAAATAGATGCTTGCTTTTACTTGTGAGCTTTTAGCTACGGTCATAAGATTTCTTTTCCTTTTAAAGGCAAAAAAGTTTATAATCATTTATGAGGCACCAAGGAATTCTGCTAATGGACTGAAGATGTAATTTAGACTAGTGAAATAAGAGGAGTCTCATAATATATTTTCTCATTTTCTTTCATAACAATAGCCAATTAGCCAATGATGCTTCTACAGTGTTAGCTGTTGTTTTGTGTGAATGGTCAGTAAGGTCAACAAGGATATCATTTTGTTTGTGGCCTTTAATAGTGAAGCAGAATTCTCCTTTACTTTCAGGTTGTTAACTATATTGATAAAACGTGCAACACATTTTAAATATTTAATTCTCTTTTGAAGTTTTGCCATTTCAAGAAGTCAAAGTTAGTATTGTTGCTTGTTAGTCAATCTCAGCGTAGCTAAATAATTCTCTCATGTTATGTTGACACTCGGTGCTCATTTGTATGATTGTTAATCAAAAATTAAGCTTCAAGTTTGAGGCCAGTAGATGCCTTGATAGATTGTGAAATGTTGCTTCCTCATCTTATGTCATATTTCCTTCTTCATTTAGTCTGGGAGTTACTATTTCACCATATGACTTTAAAAAGTGCTTACCCCTCTCGCCCTATCTATGGCTGTGCGTATGTATATTATTTGTGGTATGGATATTTTTTTTCTTTGCTAAAATCTTAGAAATGTGATTTTGGTTAGGTAGGATATCGAAAGAAAATTGAATATTCTTTTGGCTTCCGCATTGTTGGTTTCTGCTTTCAGTTTGAGTGGCTACAAAATTGATTTCTTATTTTGCTTATTTGTTAATTACAAGGTGGAAGCTTTGGTTTGTTACAGTTGCAATTCAATGATACAATAAGGGTCATTTGAAATATTCTGTTTTTCTCTCTGGGCTTAATGGCAGAGTTGGATATTTCTGTTCTATAGGTTTATGGAGATTAAGTTTCATCTGCAGGTTCCTTTTTTGTGATTGGGAATGATATTTTTTTGGATGATAAATACTTGAATTGGACTTCTCATGATATTTAAATATTATTTCTCTAAATACATCTAGTGCCCTTTCTTTTAATTTGTTTGTTTGAATAGAATACAAACGTTTTAACAGGTTAAGGTGGCTAATTAGCCAATCACATACTAGCCCCATGGCTGTATTTTTTGTGTGAATGGTCAGTAAGCTTACCGAAAACAATGCCGTTGGTGGCTTGTTACTAATGAAGCTGAAATCTGGTTTCATTTTTGGGTCACCAACTACATTCTTAAAATTTATAGTTCAATACACCTTGTTTTGTGTCTCTTTTATGTTTCCTTATTTGAAGATGAACTTGCATGGTTCATTTGCAAAGGATGGTTAATTGCCCATTGCATGTTTTAGCCTTATGTGAATGAAATTTTTTTTGTTAGTATCCTTTAATGGTAGCAGATATGTGCTTTTACATTTTGGTTTTTAAGTATGCTTGCAAAATGTTTTCCTTTCTGAAGGCCAAAATGCATAAGGTTTTAATGTCCACATAATAGATTGAATCTTTCCTTTTGACTTCAGCTTGTATGAAATTGGTTTGACTCTATTATTTAACATAATGTTATATCATTCATGAGGTGCCAAATGGATGCCACTTACAAGAGAGTTGATCTGTAATTCTGAAATGAAAAGTGGTCTTGAAGTCTTATTTTTTGTTTTAATATAGAACTTATATTTCTCATGGCCCAGATCACATTCAAAACAGCATTAAGAGTGTTGTGTGAATGGTCAGGAAGCTCACCAAGAGGGAACATTTTGTTAATGGCTGTTAACAGATTTAAACATAAAATTTTCTTCCAAGTCATTTCTAGGGGATATGCAGGTCAAATTATGTATTTGCAGCCTGTTAGTCTATCTCAAGTTGCTAAATTAGCTCCATACAATATGCCAGTGCTTGGTATGTTGGTGATCTTCAATAGTGAATCCAAATTATGCCTGAAGTTTTAGGTAGGTTGTTACCTCCTGTTCAGTTTTGGAGTAAAAAATTGAATTTGAATGTCAAGTTAAAGGACCCATTGGGATACATATCTGTGACATTTTTTTTTTTTTTTTTACTATTCTTGGCAACATCTAAATTTGGAAATGATGCAGGTTCCAAACCAGAAGAACCAAAAGTGGCAGGAGATAGCTTGGCTCAACTTGGTAAAGGAGGTGCCATCCTCATGGTTTGCAGAACCTGTGGTAAGAAAGGGGACCACTGGACATCTCGATGTCCTTACAAGGATCTTGCCCCACAAACTGAAGCTTTTGTCGATAAACCTGCTGCTTCGGAAACATCTGCTGCAGCTGCAGGAAGTGGCAAGTCAACTTATGTTCCTCCAAGCATGAGGGCAGGAGCAGAGAGAACTGGTGGATCGGATATGAGACGTAGAAATGATGAGAACTCAGTTCGAGTCACAAACTTATCCGAAGACACTCGGGAACCAGACTTGCTCGAGCTGTTCCGAACGTTTGGACCAGTTACTCGAGTTTATGTTGCCATTGATCAGAAGACTGGCGTCAGCAGAGGATTTGGTTTTGTCAACTTTGTAAACAGAGAAGATGCTCAGAGAGCTATCAACAAACTCAATGGATATGGTTATGACAATCTCATCCTCCGGGTTGAATGGGCCACTCCTAGAGCAAACTAGGTGCCCTTGTTTTTGTTCTCTCTATTTTAAGGCTCTTGAAAAAAGTTATGAAGGCTTGATGATGGATCCGTAATGTGATTTTTTGTTAGTTTTAATTTATAATTTCACATAACTTTGTAATTTACCTATTTTTGTTTCTCTTTTATATTCTTAGTTTATACGTGTTAATTTGTTGCGCCAGATTTTTATACTGGTTATTATTAGGTTCATTAAAAAAAAAAAAAAATGTTTTCATAAGTTATTGATGGTGGCATCATCGTGTGTGTGTGGGGGAATAAATTTGGTCCAAACAATCTTAATATACCTTAAAATTAAAATTGGTTACCCGCCAGTTTCTAATTATTTATAATAAAATTTAGGTTTTGCATTTCGTAGGTTGTTTTGTTGGTGATTAAGGTTCCATTCTTCCGATGCTAATTTACAAGTTATTGTGGGTAAAGTTTCGAATTTTAATAATGTGGTTTTTCTGTTGTGTTAGAGAACAATTTAATTTCAATGCATAGAAATCAATGTGTAAAATATGTCTTAACAAAAATCTTCAAAACCAATTAAAGTGATTTACTCAGATGTGTGACATGTAAACGCTAATGCACGATAGTCTGGTGATATCTGAAAGGTGACTGATAAATTTTAGTATCTACTTATTTCAAACAATTCGATATTCTATTTATTATGTATATTACTTAACCTCTCCTCTCACCCATTTCTCCAACTCATGTGGGTACGGCCCACTGCAACTCTAATCCCGGTTCGGGCCATCGGCTCACTGGCAAACTCGGATCCAAATTCACAAAGCTAGAGTAAGCACTACAACCCGATTCACGAACCCGAATCATATGCGACGTCGTTGAACCCCCCGTCCTAAAACTACAACATATCGGCGCCTTCCCACACGGAGCCGCATTTTGGGTACCGTTGATGAATGCGTGACACAAGCTTGTCGACGAGCAATCCAACGGTGACCGAAGCAACGCGTCTGTACAGTTGAGGTACATGATAGTGTTACTGCTGGTGACGTTGAAAGGGAGACTGCTGTTGAGCTGGATGCCTTGGTGGACCATATCGGACGTGACGCAGGTGTTGGATAATAGCCCTGCGGGCTTGATCACTAGCCGTTGGATCGAAGGGTCGATGGAGATGATTGGGTAGGAATTGTTGACCGTATCGAAGATGGGTGCGCCCGCATCGCAGCGGATCTTATAGGACTGGTGACCGCACGCGGGATCGGTGCTTAGCGGGTAGGGTACCGGGGTGGTTCCGCAGTCAGGACATTGGTTGGTGGCAGACCATGCGCTCCCTGCGCACAGCAGCAGAGTCACAATCGGGAGTAACCTGTGAAACATTTTCATGATGAAATATGTGGGATTAGGATGTTTAGATCAGTTGTTATGTATTGAAAAATGTATTCGTTTTACTTAAGGTGGATATTATTAGATTTTTGATAAATGCTTTGGCTCTTAAAATGGAAAATTAAGATCATTGCTGTTTAAATTGTGTTTGGTAAGGAGGAAAGTCCGGTAAAAGGATCTCCGGGATTGATTAGATAATGGGAAAATTTGGTTTAACCCATTTATACTTTTGCTAAAGTTTGGTGCATGCAGATAATATGATAGGTTAAAAATATAATATAAATAAATAGGATTCACAAAAGCAATCATCTATTCAATGTATCAATAGATTTTATCCGAAGAAATTGGTCAAAGATATTAACGCAATTTATAATTATTAAAATATTTTGTTTATTTTAATGAAATAATAAGTTAATTATCGATTAATAATTTTAAATAAAATCTTTATTAAAATTAAAGTGGAATCTATTGAAAACTTAAGAAAAAAAATTTTAATCGCAAGAATATAAAACATAAAATACATTGGTTATTTTATTTATCATATTAACAAAACTAAGTAGGCAAAATGTTCAATTAATGCACATTCAAATTATCCAACTTACACGAACATGTATTTGAAAACAATAAATTAAAACTTTGACCCAAAAACACTTCTTAGGTAATATATATAATTTGAAAATACAATTTACATGTCTGCATATGCGTGTGTATTAACTAGGCTTTTTTCACTTCTGCTGCTGCAATACTCATGATATACCCAATCTCCTCTGTCACTTCCTTCATTGAAGGCCTATTCTGTCTCCTTTCCTCCAAGCAACCCATTGCTAGAAAACCCAGAGCTTTCATGGTGTCCACCTCTACTTGACTTGCTTTCTTTTTCAGCAATGGATCAATCACCTCAATCAACCTTTCTTCATCCACCATTCTCTGCACAAATACCGCCAGGTTCACATCATCCTGGTCTCGGTTAAAATCAATAGCCTTCTGAGAAGTTAGAAGCTCCAACAACACCACACCAAAACTATAAACATCACTCTTATCAGTCAATTGATAGTTCCGATAGTACTCTGGGTCTAAGTATCCGAGGGTTCCTTGAGCACATGTCGATATATGGCTCATATCGGTATGAGCTAATCGAGAGAGTCCAAAATCTGAAACTTTAGCATTCAATTTCTCATCAAGAAGTATGTTACTAGACTTGACATCTCGATGATAAATAGGGGGAACTGCGGAGGAATGAAGGTACGCGAGACCTTCAGCAGTGTCGTATGCAATTTGGAGACGACATTTCCAGGTTAATTGGCTTCTTTCATCGATTCCCATAGCATGCAATCGATCATATAAATTGCCATTGGCAATGTACTCATAAACCATGACAGGTTGCTCAAGCTCCACACAACATCCAAGTAAACCTACAAGGCTCCTATGATTGACTTGACATAAGATTCTAACCTCATTGAGGACTTGGTCAGTGCCTTTGGCGTTGCCTAACTTGGCACATTTCATGGCTACTGCAGTACCGTCTTCGAGAATTCCTTTGTAGACATCTCCATACCCACCGGAGCCGAGTAGGCGATCTCGAGAGAAATTATTGGTTGCTTTCTTGACTTCTTTTCCGCTGAAGACTTTGGCCATCTTGCCAGCATTGTTGGCGTTGAGGATTTCCTCGCGCTCTTTTCTAAGTCTCTCTTGTGTTTCTATCATCCGTCTGTATCGTTTGTAGAGAAGAAAGGAAATGGTGGTGACAATAAGTGCTGCTCCAATGCCAGAAATTAAGCCTGCAAGTCCATAAATCTTCGTAACTTCAAAGTTCCATATTCTCATCTCTAATAAGTACTACAATATATATACACACAGAAAAAGCTATCGATTATTTGCAAAATAACTAAACACATCTTTATGAGATTCTAAGTTTGAACTGATTGTGTATCACGTATATATCATCTTAGAAGGTTATAAGATTATTAACTTTGTCATTATTAATGTATAGTTACAATCTAATTATCAAAATGTATTAAAAAACTAATTTCTAAAGCTGGTATTATTTGTAGTTTCTTTTGAGAGTGCTGCAACATGTAGTTAGTTATTTGCCATTAATTAAATTGTTTGAATTCAATTAAATAATTGCAACTAAGGATGGATTAATATGAATTAGAAGATAGTTATATTATTTTGATTCAATTTAATTAGTAGTGTTTCTAATTGGAACATTTTATCATATGAAGTTGAAACACAGTACCCTAGTTTAAGTAGTTTAATATTAAACATGATTAAATATAATTCACAAGCAAATATATGATTCTTCTTAAAACAAAAATGTTATGATGGTTTGCATTGTTAGACAGTATTCTCATGAAAGGCTTTCTAAATCTTGTAAGTTGGAGAAAATTTGACAATTAAATTAGAACATTGGAATTTAGACCTAACTTTTAGGTATGCTTACATGCATGTATAATAAATATATTATACACGTATATATATATATATATATATATATATATATACAGCTGGGTTACAACTAACTTTTAAATGCTCGCATCAAAATCTTGACTTTTTTTGTTTCTTATTGTTGGCTAAAGGATCAAGATATGAAAGCTCCATTGGTTATTATTATAAGAATAATTGTCACTTCAAGATTGCTTTCAAACATCGTCTGTGTATTTCTTCCTTATCACATACGTAAGATATATATATATATATATATGACTTTGCCAACTTGATAAAAAAAAATACAGATTTTCAATATTTAGGGAAAGAATTATAAAGTGATTCCCAAGTGCTGATTTTAGAAAAGTATAAATAAAAATACTAATTTATTATAAAAGATTAAAAGTTTGTATATACTAGTACGTAATTCAACAGCGGCAACTGAAAGTCTGCAAGCGACAAAAATTAATGCGAAATGCAAACTACCTGACAAAAGTCAAAAAGTGTGGAACCTAAGTCAATAACATACCTGCAATCAGCGCCGTCCGATCAGAGCCATCACAGCCATCAGGATTCTGACACGTCACGACTGCCCACCCAAAAAAAAAAAATCAAGAATTTCCATCGACAAATTAATTTTTTTAATTAGTGTAATCGTATTTACCCGAAAATTAGTCTAATAATCACGTAATTAATACACACAAAAAATACGACTCACTTTCAGCGCATATCCCTTGAACCGGGTCCCACCGCAGCCCCGATTTACAGAAACACCTATTGACTCCAACAGTATTCGGGTCGGGTCCACAAGTTGAAGTTCCAGCATCGTCACAATCCGACTGAGTTAAACAGATTGGTTCCGGCGGCGACTCCCACTGGATCTCCACTCCCGGGTCCGGCCAGCTGGAGATTGGCGATTGCGGGTTGAGATTGACGAAACTAGTGTAAGCGCGACAAGCGACGTCCCTAACCCGAATAGAATGCGACGTCGTAGAACCACCAGCTCCGAAAGTACAACATATCGAACTGTCGCGGCATGGAGCGACGCCTTTTTCTACGGCGACAGAGCTGTTGACGAAGGAGTGGCACAAGCTTGTGGAGGAGCAGTTGAGAGGGGAGCCGATAAGCATCTCCGTACAGTTAAGAAACATGATGGTGTTGCTGCTGGTGATGTTGAAGGGGAGAGAGGCGTTTAACTGAACCCCCTGCTGGGGAAGATCCGTTGCGATGCAGGTGTTGGGGATCGGCGCAGCGGGTTTGATATCTAGCCGTTGGATCGATGGGTTGATGGCGGTGATCAAGTAGGAGCTGTTGATACTGTCAAACATTAACCTTCCCGCGTCGCAGCGAATCTTGTATGACTGGTCGCCGCACGTCGGTCCCGTGCTGAGTGGGTAGGGAACCGGAGCTCCCCCGCAATCGGGGCAGCGCTTGAAAGAATCTGCTTTCCATGCGCACGCTAGCAGCGCCGCCGTGAAGAGGACGAGCTTAAACATCTTCATTTTCATGGCGCCAGAAGCGTATTAGACATTTGAGGATGATGAGAAGGAAGAGTTGGTTTTATACAGAAGTTTTTTGAAATGGGCGTTTCCTTTTTTGTGAGAGTCAAAGTCAACGATAGGATATCAAGAGGAGTCATTTTGGAAGAATTTTGACGTGCGTGTTTCTTGAAATAAATAGTTTCATTATTCAATTTTGGTCGTTTTGCACGTGAATCCCCATAATTTGCTGGTGAATTTTCTTTTCCCAATCTCATTTTAATGGCGTTATTATTACGTCATGCATGTCGCACAGGATTTAAATTGAATTTTTTAAGGATTTAATGAATACTTCAAATTTAAAATATATATTTTGATTTTATTATTAATACATTTCCATCATTATCCGCAGGCAGCCAGCCAACTGTTTATTTTTGAATTGAAGGCAAAGGAAGACAAGGCCGACCCCCGTTTGTGTGTGTTAGGACCGATTGCACAAATTCAACTTTTCCCCCCTTCAACTTTTTTATTCCTTTTCAAATTAAGCAACCGGTCCGTTCACACATTATCCCCCGAATACCTCTACTATTCTTAAACAAATGTATACATATGAATATATATATATATATATATATACAAGCACACATACGTATGCATAGGTGATTCTAATCATATATGCATAGTTAATCCACTCCTATCATGGCCAACTAACTACTTGAAGGTATCAGATTACAATACTCAATCACCCAGTTCCAATTATACATCTAACACAAAATATACACAAAGCATTTCTACATATTGGAAGATAATCATAATGGTGTTAGTGGATGGGCTTATTACAGTAACTTCAGCCGTGAAAGAATGGGGAGCATGCACACATGTAAGCATACTGGCTATTGTATGTACATATACATATGACTTATACTGCTGAAGATAAAATGCACCTGCTAAGCTATCAAAATTGTGCCAAGGCATGGAGAAGTACGGCACTCAAGTGGGCGATTCAGCCAGAAGCAATGTATGCCACCAGCCACATGCAACGCTTTTAGGGATTAAACCCTCGATGGTAACTTGAGATGGAATGTTGCGATCAATAACATCTCCCAAACCAAGCTGTTTCATGGATCCTTAAATTATAAGTTGAGTTATGCCAGATATGCTGAGGCCTTAAAACATCTCAGTATCATATTGCTATTTCAACCTCAAGCTACCAATCAACTAACATAAATCATCGAAATGAGATCATTTTAAACATGGATTTGAGAAAGTACCTGACCGTATTTGTTCCATCCCCAGCAAAACACTTTCCCATCATCTGCAAGCAACAAAAGCAGAAAGTGAGTTGCTTGACTAAATCTGCTCTGGATCTATGATATGAACAAGAGTATAGATAAACAATATCCTAAGCATCATGTTCATACAAAACCTGGTGAGAGGTTTCTTCCATCATTGGAAAGTAAGAGTTCATCTTCCACCGATTTAAAAGCCTATTAATCATGTACTTGAAACCCCTACCCCAATAATCACCAACTGATATTTTTCAAATTCTTATTGTGCATATTCCATTGCTAAAATGATCCATTTATAACAGAGCCACGTAGTGTTCTCTCCACTTTTGACACTCCAAAACATCTAACATATTCGTCTGAGGCATTGAACAAAGAGAATTTCTAGAAACTGCCTTTAACCTTACAACTGAGTGAATGCAAATGTTTTGGACATTCATATATGCATCAAGTACATACCAGTGACAACCGCACTGTGACGTGCCCCACAAGAGACAATTTTTACGTGCGAACTCTCCAAACTTGGGGACTCCAAAAGCCTGGGAAGAGTCTGATTTAGAGATCCAAAAGTACTTAAGTTAATTGCAGAAAGTTATGAACATTGAGAGTATGTTAATGGCACAGCATTAGACTAAATACTGATGATCCCAAATTCAGTCTTTGGATTAGCACATATCTTCTCACAAGTAAAACACTACTTGCAATAATAATCATGTTACCTATTATATTTCAGAAAACAGGGGGCAAAGTAAATTAGACTTTACCTCTGCTTGATCACTGCCAACTCCCAACTGCCCAAACTGATTTCCTCCAAAAGCATACACATCACCATCAGCAGAAAGGCAAACAGTGTGCCATAGTCCTGCAGCAACTCCCTGTATCCTGATGCCCAGTAATGAAGATGCACAAGTCGGACTTAATTCGTCATCTGTACTCCCTTGCCCACACTTGGCAGATCAATAAGAAAACCAATTTAGTCCTTTATGATGATTATTAAAACAAGCAGCAGCCAAGATAATTGCAGCAATAATTGAAAAAGGACCAGAGTTGATTATCCTTTCTTAGATGAACTTCATCTTGAACATCTACTGTGCTTTTTTCTCCATCATTTCTACTTTACCTACATGTCGATGCTGAAGAACAGTTAATAGTTGAAACCCATCGAGTCTCAGGGATTCGATATAATGATTGAAATGTTGAAGATCGAGCTAAAGCTATATCCTATGTTTCAGAGAAGCGAGATTACATAAATTTGAAACCATAATAATTGGATTTCAGTAATCAAGAATTCAAATGGACATAAACTTGTGAAGATAAAAGCTTCCCTGGATCACATAAATTGAATAAGAAACTTATTATGCCTTATTCTTCATGTCACTTGTACTAAAAGCTGAAACAAATTCAATAGACTTGGAGCACAAGGAGAGAACTGCTCAGCCTCGTTCTGTGCATGAAAATTTAAGGATGCAATTTGTGGAGTGTCATTCAGCAGCCTCGTAAAAGGTTCTTTATTTCACCAAATAAAAAATTATGCATGAATAATTCCTCGGGAACTCAGGGAAAAGTGATAAAGAATAGATGAATCCAGCGACTTGAGGTGATAGTTCTCCAACATCCCATTCCTTACAAACAGGTAATGGACACAATAAAGGAGGTAAAAGGAGAGAACCTGACTCCCGGAAATTTCCCAAGCTGAAAGAGCTTTTATGAGTGCCATGATTAAAAAGCTGAAAAGTTGAATCTTTTATTGTCTAGGCTACAATGAATATTTTTGTGGTTAAAAGTTGTAATCTGCCATTCTAGGAATAATAACAGATAAACTAATGTGTTAACCCAAGATTGCAGAAAAGAACCATTTCTAATTTAAACAATTAATCATAAAATATATAGAATTGATTCCAAATTTGTTGTTTCATATATGCAGTCTTTTTTAGTTTTACATTGATTCTCTTTCAAGTGGAATCTATCATGATTACTAAAGAGTGGAGATGCTTAATACATACCATTTAGTGATGCTAAAAATAACTCCCAAACTCAGATCAAAAATTGGATATGGATCCACCAACACGGGCTAATGCGCAGAATGGAATTAACTAAGTTTATGAATTTTTTAAAGGAAAAATATTAAGCCTGCTTGGTTCTTCCAAGAAAACAAATGACTGAGAGAATATGCTCTGCATGGAGCTTAGTGCTCTGTGGTAACTCACCTGTCCATAGAGTCCCCAACCAAATGTAAGCAGCACTCCCGCATCTGTTCATGCAAGAAATTTGTCACAGAAATGTTCACGTCAATAAATGCAGAGGGTGGTCATATATGAGAGAGAAAAATAAACAAGAAAAGGATGTAAATAACTTGGCTATACTACATGACATATCATACATACTCGTCATCCAATATTTTAATTCACAAGTTTCAGAGACATAATATACCTTTCAGTTCTCCCTCATAGACTAGTCATAGCTCAGTGACCAAAACAGACTTCACCCGATTGACCAAAAAGGGTAAATCCTTCTAGCACCAGCACTCTTTGGTGCCCACAAAACCAATAAGATATAAAATATGATGTCTTTGCCCCTTCAAAGGCTGAATCGGATTGCTGGCAGTTTGACTGCTTAATTTCTCTGTAACCGAGGGGAGGGTTGGGGGAGAAAGTAATGACCTTTGTTGATGTGTAACTAATGTTACTTAAATGATGTAGGATATTCTCTTGGTCATTTTCGACTAATTTGTTTATCATAATAAACCAGACAGAACTCAACTAATACATACAAGAGTGTGCAGTTCTCCATACGAATGTGAGCATTAGCACCATAAATCAGATACATGGGAAAAAGACAAGCAGGCTCAAAAGATAGGTATTTTCCGTGTGCTGAGCACAGTTTCAAATGGCTTTTCTATGTTTTAGCCGTCAACTTAGGAATTACTTATATTTATGCCTTTCCCATTTTTAGTTATACAAAAATGACACTTGTGTTCTAAGACTTCTGTTCCTCTTCCTTAATTTGCAGGCCTTCACAATTTTTAGCATAAAATAGAATCTTATCATTTTGCTTTTCATACTTTGGTTATGGGTTTACGGTCCTACAATCTCAAAGTCACTCATCAAGTGCTCAATTATTCTTGAGCAGTTCCATTCAAATCCAGCTTGCTATCTGGTAGAGAGTAGGGAGGGCATAAAAATGTTTCCTTGGACAATAATATGCAAGAACTTTAACAGTTTTTCTTTTATTCTAAGTGACTGAAAATTCCAAATAAAACATAGCGCCATAGATGGCATACCTGTGATTACAGCACTATGCCGCCCTCCACATGCAATTCCCTTTACATAACTTCCAGGGACTCTAAAAGTCTGTCCTTCTGAACTCATGCTTCCCCGGGAAAATGCCACAGATCTATCTTTAATGTAAGTGGAAGATTCAATACAAGGCACTGGATGAGGAGAGGACACCATTCGTATCCGAGAACCCAACCCAAGCTGCCCCTCACCCCCATATCCCCAACCCCACACCTGTCCTATATCTGAAACTTTAGAAAAATTAGAATACATAGATTTTCAGGTTTTACATACAAGGTTTCAGCTTTAACGCATGCATTAGCGGATATGTGGCATAACCACGCTACGTACCTGACAGTGCAAGAGTATGGCGCCCACCAGCAGCAACAGTAACAATCCTCACTCCTGGATTTAATGTTACAAGACAAGGCAAAGCTGACAGAGTTTCATCCCCAGATGATGAGCTCTCAGCCGCTTGTTTTACTGATGATACTCTTCTTCTTTTTGTGCTTTCTTCTCCACTCACTCTACTGTCTACACCAGACAAGGATGCACCACTGGATCTTGAACCTTGAGGGCGAGGACTCGCTGCAAAATAGCCATCGATTGTCACCTAATCTGAAGCAAGCTAATGCAATCTATATGTTTGACAGATTGAAGCAGCCAAACCTTGATCTGCCAAAAATGAACTCTGTCTTTCAAATATATCCTTTTCCAGGCTTCCTCCTACAGAAGGATCTCCAAATACTTTTCCAGAGGGAATACACTCTTTCCATCCCCATGTATAAACCTCTCCTCTGTCTGTATTTTCAATACGAGAGACACTTAACCTGTGAGTTTAAGCTAAGAAACAAGTGACATAGATGAACTAGATGCATGAAGATATTAGTGACGTTTCTTTTTTGGCCAATCATTATTCTAAAGGTGCTACTTCTTGAACAAGTCCCCAGAGAAATGAATTTTGAACACCCTTATACTTTGAAGAAAACAGTCCATCATCAGATTTTACTTGGTCAAGCTTTTGTACTTTTCCACCCCATTTCAAAGACCTAGACTCTAAGTTAAAATCCACATCCTTCAGTTCAAATACCAAAAGCTACTCAGAACACACGCAAATCCTATTTCTTCAGTTCAAAAGGAATGAGTAATACCAGTAACTGCAACACAATGCGCCCACCCTGCCGCAGCTTTTACTATAGAAGCTTCAGTAGGAAGAGGGAAAGGCTCTGGAGTTTCCTTTAACAAGTGATAGAGCAGGAAAGAAAAATGTAGGTCAGTTTTATGAAGAATTCACTCATATCTCCGGAAAGAATTACAGAAGTAGAACACAGTTGGACGCTACCCCATGCTTCCCAGACGTCACATAGCTTTGACCAAGATCATCTGTTGAACCCCATGTTATAAGCTTCCCCGAATCTGATTTACAAATACCAAAAATGAGTATACAGCATTATAAAGAATATCTTTGGAGAAGTAGAAAAAACAGAACAATTCGAAATCTGAACATCTTAGCATGTTTTACGAATCAAATGTTTTCCTGTAACTTGAACGAATAAAACAGAGACACCATTAAAAAATTGAGCTTAAATCAGTGAAGAGTGATATCATCACTTTGAACCGAACAACACAAGAGCACGTTATGAAAAATAATATTTCGGTTAATTTCCCACATATTCTTGACAACCAAACAGCTCCCAAGTGCGAACACAAAAAGAAAAAAGAACTTGTTCTATTTACTCCCATTTCCCCAAATCCAATGCCGATGAAAACAAGGGGAATATTTTCAAAAAATAGAATTAAGAGAGGGGAAAACAAAACACAAAAATCGAAACAGATGCTAAAAAGCAAAGAAACAACACCGGCAATGGCCATGGCGAATCCGCAACCACCACCACAAACGTCTCTCCACGAGGCTCCAATCGACGCCGGAAGGCCGACGATAACCGGCGATAAAAGCGGCGCTCTTTGCGGCAAAGCTCCCGGGAGGTACCCCCACATGAAGACCACTCTCCCCTTTGGTTCCACCTCCATCTTCACTCCCTCGTCTCCTTCTCCTCCTTCCCCATTCATCTCTGCCTCAGAGCACCAAAGAGACAAGAAGAAAAGGACAAGGAAAAGAAAGGAAAGGAAAAGGAAATTGTTCAGAGTATAGATTAGTCGTCCTCTCTGTTTGTATGTGTTGTGCGTTTTGAGCGTGCAAATGTGTTTGCGACTGCGAGCTTTGTGGGAGAGAGAGGAAGTGCCCTAATTTTCGGTGGAATAATAAATAAATAAATAAGTCGAAATTAATTAAATAAGAGGAGTTGGGGCGTATCATTTTCAGGGAAATGGAGGGTACCACGTAGGATGATGACGTGGCATGTTAGGACACGTGGCTCTCTGCCGGCCGCTAGAACGCTCAGCAAATTCTAGCCAGGAGTTCACGGGAAGTTTCTGGAAGGTCAGGCAGTCTTAAAGCTTTTGCCTTCCCATAGTGGCTGTCGCGTACGCATAATATTCCGCCACGTTTTCGCTTCTCTTTCGATGCCCAATCATTGTTCCTGCCACGTGTCAATTCTAGAGGCTAATATTAGCTCCCAAAGGTTGCCACGTCATCTGTGGGGGCTCTTTTGATGCATGAGTAGTTTTTTGACCAATGAATTAAATTTTTTTAATGAAAATAAAAATTGGATTTTAGATGGCGGCCAGATTACGAACCAAATGCGATGTAAATAAAATTTTTAAAGGGTGATTAAATAATTAGTGAAATTAGGGTGATTAATATGTTGTTAATGTATTAAATCCAATTTGACTGTTGACTTTTTTTTTTGGTTAAATATTTTATGATTGGAAAATCTCGTGATTAGCTCACCGACATTTTTATTTTCTTAATCAACATTTAAATTCAGACCACATATGTTTTATAATTTAATAAGAAAAAGGAATACTCAAATTTGTCAATAATACTCATTGATTTGTCACATTCCAAAAAGCAGTGAAGACTTAAAATATATATACATGCATACATATATATATAAATACAAACGTACAAACGGACACATAATTGTTAATTTTTGTTCAGAAAAAGTAAAATCTTTATATCTTTTTTTTTTTGCACTATATAAATTGTATTGCAATTAAAAAGATATAAAGATATTTAAATCTATCAAATCATATTTTTAATTTAAAATTAATTTTATTTATCTCTTTTTTATTTTTTTATTTTTTTTTTATCCTGAAATTTTTGAAGATGTATTTATTTTTTTATGTTTTCAAAAACCCATGTTATTTCTACATAATATTTGAGAAAAAAAAAATTTGTGAGCATTGGTGAAATAGTATGTAACTAGTTGAAATATTAGTATAAACAATATATTTTTAAGTTTGATGGAATCACAAATTTAATTTACAAGTATTTTAACGCTTCAAGTGGCTAAAATTCTTAATGGGTATGCTTTTTGTGGCTTTATTTTTCATGCTTTATCTCCAATTGGAATTCGTATAGATTATAAGTTCGAATTTGCATGTTAATATAAATATGCAAATCAAAGCAAAAATAATTTAAATATAAAAGGATAAATAACCAATTTAATAGTAAATTACAATAAGAAATATGATCGGAGAATCGAGTGGTTATAAATAATTTTATGAAAAAAATATATATTTATAAATTATATATTTAAATAAATATTTTGATAATATAATGCACAGATTTAGAGACTTATAAAATAAGTTTTAAAAAATAATTATTTTAAATTTATTCGTCATCCTATTGTAAATATTATTTTAAATTTTAATTGATCTTTATATTTTTATTTATTGAGATACATACAATAATTATTTTTCTTTTACATGTTTTTAATTTCAGTCTTAAATTATAGATAATATAACTTTAATTTCATGAAAGTGACATATGAAATCATAAATAATAACTCAAGATGTTTGTAGGTTTAAAGGATTGCAAAGCTAACTAATTTTATTGTTAAATCTACTTAATATATATATATATATATGTGATATGTTTTATTATGATAAAAAAAATTTCATTAAATTTCTATAAATAGTAATTCTATTATGGGATGTGAACTCTTTAAATTGTCAAAGGATAAACCTATCTCGGCACATGGATTGAATTATTCCGGAATACTCAATTATTCGTTTGGGTTCAGATTTCTTCTAATCCCAAACATGGTGGTGGGTTAGGGGAAGAGACAAATATAAAAATTGATGTGAGATGAGATGATGAGGCCCAAAGGTTATGGGTAGTTTTTAGTTTTACGGATCCGTACCCAATAATAGAATTTATACATATTATTAAAAATGTTAGTGTGGTATATATTTAACGGGAATTTCCTTATTTTTAAAGTGTTACGTTTACTAATTAAAAAAATAATAATTTAAAATTAAATAAATTTATATTACCCGTACCGTTTTAAAATGATATAAATTTTACAGGGTTATTTGAAAATTACTATATCGTAAGTTCATTATAAATTTTAGTTAAAATTAAAAATGTATTAAAAAAATAATGAAAAACAATTTCATTTAAAATTGGATAAACTTATATATTTATACCCTTTTAAATAAAATGGATCTTACATGATTATTTGAAAATTAATATCTTGATAAAACTAATAATTAAATAATTAAAAAAAAATTATAATTTATAAAAAAAAAATCAGAGTGTAAAATTTAAAACAAGTTACATTAGACAAGTAACGAACCTTGGTGGATTTAAATTTAGGCTTTAATCAACACGAACATGGACGCGTCTGAAGAGACACGTGTCAGAATTATTTAAAGCGGGCCCATGGTGGGGTCTAGGGATCTGGATGGGCTAATTCCATTATAGATAAAATGATGATAGGGGCGATCGTGCGGTCAAGATCAAGGCCCAATGATTGAGTACTAAGGAGGGCCCATGATCATTTGGTAGATCGTTAGTGGGCTCACTGTTTTAGATTAGCCGATCGTGAGGCTGATAATTGAGGCCTAATGATTAAAGTTGGGGCCCATAAACGAGTGGTTGATCTCGGGATTTAAAGGGACCATAAGAAAGTCAACATGTTGGGCCGCTAAGATTAGGTGGGCACAGTTGCAACACGTTGCTCGTGTGTAAACCTCTGCCATGATTTGGAACAAACAATGGGGGTAGGATTAGTACCATATATAAATAAATAAATAAGAAAAAGGATCTTTTTCTTCCACACGAAAACAAACCAATAATATTTAAATTCCAAAAAATTATTTATCAATTATCACTTAATTAAATAATTAATAATTCCATTTACCCATATGTTTGTGTTTTTATTATAAATATATAAATTTTTATTAAAGAAAACATAAAAATTAATATTGCATGAACCATGCACACGTGTGTGTGTATATATTTGGAAAAGTGCAAAGGCACGCTGGTGATTGGTGGTGGGTTTATAAGAACCACGAGGGATACGACAAACACAAACCTTACCATTTAAGCCGCAGATTAGAAATTAGGAAATCCAATAAAATCTACAATAATTGAATATTGATTATTAATTCCACTTATTAATTTATTTTAAATATTTTTCTGGGTATTAATTTAAATTTATAAATTATTTCGTCATAAAATTAGAATATTGATTTTGTATTATTTATATTAATTTTGATAAATAATTAATCATTTGATGGGGTCAGAAGTTGATAATATAAGTGAATAATGCAGAACGAATTATAGTTAATTGACTACCGCAAAACCATGTATTTATTTATTTGTTTTGGTCTGAAAATGTCATGTTCGGGTTGTTGGAAACATCAAATATCACCTCTTGATTTTTATGAATGAACACAAACAAACCCCAATGATATATACACAATATATATATATATATATGTGTGTGTGTGTGCATGTAAACCAGCCAGGTTATTTATTATGGAGGGTCAAGAAGTTTACATGTCTTATGAATGAATTGATTTAGTGCATATTGCTGCAAAAATTTCACTTATGGAATATAGTTACTTATATATATATATATACACACTTATATATATAAATAAATAAATTGAGTTAGACTAGTTCGCCTAACAAAATAGATTATTTAAGTTGAATTCTTAATTATCGTAATAAGATTAGATTAATATCAACTAGACATTTTCTTTTAGCCACTCTTTACTTGATTATAGCATATATATATATAACTTCTAAGTTATTGAATTTTTTATTACTTAAGAAAAAACAAGAAGATGGTTGTATACATATGTATGTGTCCATTCGTATATACATATAGTTTACATTTTGGAAGTTAGCAATAGAGATAACTTCACATTGACACCAAGAAGGAATCTAAATTGAGGTTCTTCTTTTTATATAAGTAGGAAACAAAATTATTACTGTAAAACAAACAAAAGTGTATGATAATAGACATGATGCCAGCAATTTAGTTATTATATGTTCATATATATATATATATATATGTGTGTGTGTGTATATACACGTGGAGTGCTATAAGCCTTCATGAAATCAAAATAAATTAATTTTGGAAAACCGACTTGCGTTATAAATTTTTTATTTTAATTTCTTTAAAGTACAATAATAAAAATCAATATGATATCTATTTCTTCAACTACATACGTCATAAATTTTGTATATCATAACTTTATACACATATAATATATTGATAGATAAAATCTAATTTATTGTACAAAAATTATTTTAACATAATTAATATTTAATTTTCTTGAAAAATTATAATTTATTAATTAACATTATTCTAAATTAATTTTTCATATAGTTAACAATATGTGTGTGTATATATATATATTTATATATTATTAACTGCCTCAATTTAATGGACAAACACTAATATAGTGTTACATTTTTATAGTTACTGATTTGGTAGAAAATCAAAACAATTAATAGATTATGATTTTTATTAGACTATATTGATATAAATACAGTAGCTAGCAAATTAATGTGAGATCTATAGAGTAATTCCTTTTTTGGATTTTTTTAAAATACATCCATAGTACATAGACACATATATCAATACACACATCCATGTATATATGTGTGTGTGTGTGACTTTTGATTTATAGCTAATCATTTTAAGAGCTATTTAGTTCTTATTAGTTCTTTTCTAGGGCTTTGAAGGGTTTAAACCCTTAAAAACTAAAACATGGTGGTGATGCTCAGTGATGATGAAAAGAAAAAGGAATCCAGTGAGTACTTCTGCAACTTCTTCAAGATGCCTCTTCACTATCCAAGATACACCAAGCAGGAGTATGAAGCCATGGCGGAATGGCAACTCGACAGGCTTCTTTCGGAGTATGGATTGCCCGTTCATGGCGATTTAGCTTACAAGAAAGACTTCGCCATGGGAGCTTTTCTCTGGCCCAAACATGATGACGACGACGAAGATATCCGTGAACACGAGTTAATAATTACCAGCTCTTCTGGAAATTCCCGTAATCTGAAGAACTTTGAAGAAGACTCATCTTCTGTTTCACAGAACAAAAGTAGTGTAATTGGAGGACTAGCTTCTTTCCTATATCGAGCACTAGGGTACCATGCCTAACCTATAGGCACATATACCTACATATATATATATATATATGTATGTGTATATGTATGTATTTACTGTAATGTGTGTTTTTGGTGTGTTATATAAGGTTTTTAGCTATGTTAAGTATCATTAGCTGATATGCACACACACACACACATATATATATATATATGGTCTGAGCTTAGGTAACTATGTTTAATATGCATATTTCGTGTATATATTGACCTTAATGTATCTTTGCATAAGTATAGTAATTAAAGGAATTAAAGAAATCTATATTTTGTGTCAAATGATTAAAATTACGAGTAAAAGTATTTATGATACTCGAGGAGATATACATACATGGATGTATATGTATTGGCGTCGTGAGGAATCCATTGAGCTCTTTAAATAAATTAATTTTGTAAGGTTTTATTTGGTTTAATACATTTGTTAAGAAATATGTAACTTAAAATTTAATACAAAAATTAAACTATTCATTCTATTAAAATCTTCACTATATATTTTGTTTTCTATTTATTATTATTATTTTTTTTTTTGGCAAAAGTAAAATACGAACCAATTGTTATTGTATTTTCTTTTGTAATGGTAGTAATAAAATATCAATGCAAACATATTTTAATTATTTGGAACCAAAATAAATGAGAATATAAATTTTAAAATTAACAAACGGTCATCAGTAATATGTATAAAATACAATTAGCGCATAGCATAAATGGTCTTCTACTTGCAGCTTGTTCGTGGATGTACAGTACAGTTCAAGCCGAATCTGAGTACACAAATCTTCAGGATTTTGCATAAAATCAATAGTATTTGTTAATTAGTTAGTTAAATAAGCTTCACGAGGATTCCACCCAGAGCTTAAAAAAAATTTAAGTGTGAGGTAAAATACACATGTATATGTATATATATGTGTGTGTCTAAGTATGTATATATATATATATATATATATATAGAGAGAGAGAGAGAGAGAGAGAGAGAGATAGAGGGATTACCAGGCCATTGCCTCAATTCACTAGAAGTTGGGCAACAACTGGCTTGTTCTTTCACACTTAATACTAGAGTGAGATTCTTTGAAGCATTTCGAGTTTCCCAAGTTCAAATATATGTAAACTTTATAAATAAAAAAATCATTCTTTATAGCCTCAAGAAGCATTTAATATGTTAGAAAGCAGCAAAAAAAAAAAAAAAAAAAAAAAAAAGGCCTTCCAGTTAAAGGCACAAATCCTCAAGTGACCACCACCTCCATATCATTATCTACTACTTCAAATGTCTCTCCCACGAAAATTTAAGGGAAAAGAAAGAAGAAACATTCACCTTCCATTGCACGCACCACATAACAACATACCAGTCAAGGTTTGTACTTTGAAACTAAAATAAGTCCCTCTGCAGTATCCATACATGATTTACAAAACATTCCTAACACGTTTAACAAATTCAACCTTCATTGCAAATGTTTTGTATGATAGCACTACCTGAAATACTACAAGCTCCGGTGTGCAGAAGGCAGTGACTACAAGCTGTAATGTGCGTAGGGCAATGGCTACAAGCTGTGATGCACAGAAAGCAATGATCCCCTCTATTTTTCCTTAACTTGCTCCTGGTTTGGGCAGGCTTGTTTTATGCTATCAAATCCTAACACACAGCTCCTAAACTTTACTGACCTGAGATATTGCCCAGCTTTTTCCTTGATAAAAGTAAATCATATGTGAAGTAGATATGAGAAATTACCCTCAAGGAAAAACAGCAGCTTTATACAAGGACAAACTGATGCAAAAAGGATTGGCATTAGCAATTCGAAACATTGACATGCAATATGTTAATACATTTTGAAGTGAGATGCATTTCTTGTTTATGACCCTTGAATGTAGCTGCAAGCTGGATATCCTAAAATCTCCTTCTCAAACGCCTGCCATTGGGATTAGCAGATTCCGCAACAGCCCCATCTGTGGCAATGTCAAGCCCAAATACACTGCTGCCACTCCTTTTCCTGCTTGATTGTGTGTTTGAGTTTTCATCACCTGACGCAAATGTCTTTAGCATCTCAGACAACAACGTTGGGCAGCTCTCTTCCAAGTGTCTGAATCCTTCTGACTGCATTACGGCTGAAAAACATGATGACACATACTAATGTCAACTTTTCAATGGAAATGTAGCAGTTATTATAAAAAGCAGCACATATAATCTCTAACGGCAACTAAATATTCCAATCCTGTAAGAAAAAAGAATTCCCTTGCCCACAATTAAGCAGTTTGTTAGAACCTGCAGTCTTTTTACTGGTATAAACAAACATGCTCAAGCACCACGCCCTCTGTAAAGCCAAATTCTCGAAAATCTTGATCAAAACCATTACCCAAGATGACACCACAATTGTAGAGAAGGGGTGGGATTGAACAATTTGGATAACATATTCATCCTCCATGCCCATATAAAAAGAAATCCTATAAAAACATGCACAGACACTTTCATTTTTGAAAAACCAATTTTGTTAACACATCCATGACACAATCTGGACTAGAAACCCACTACAGGGTTGTAATCAGGTATCCAGAACAATGACTTTTCTTGTAACCCAGATTAAATATCAAGGTTCTTCTCAGCACTTCAATAGCATTTTCAAAGATGAAAGAGTACCTATGGCTCTAGGGCATCAAAGAACATTCAAATTTTCGCAAATATGTATTTCTATCAAATTAGATACAAATGTGTATTGTACATTCATCCACGGCATAATTTCAATGGACCATGTGACCACAAATCCAAGCATCATTCCCATGAAATCCAAATTACAAGGTGGAAATAACAACTCCTGGAATATGAGGTCTTTAGGCAACAACAAAAACAAGCAAGCAGAAGCCAGCCATATAAAATCTTCCGAAAAAGAGGTTCTAGCATATCATTCTTAGTTAGGGAATCGTTGCATCAAATATTGAAGAATCTATTTCAAGTGGTACCAAGTCTTGAACATTTCTAGAGCTTTAATAATAATTCTAGAAATACATCAAAACACCAACAAATTGACATATACGAGGTCAACAATTGGAAAGAAAACTTTCAAGATGAAATATACTAAACTTACAAGGTAAAACACAGGACTAAGTAATTTGTCAGGGAGATGATACCAGATGCAATTTTATAAGAACGAATACAACAGTTCAGCTATAATTCAATAGAATAGTACTCATTCTAACAACTAAAAACAAGGCAAAATGATTAGAAATGTAAAAATGAAAGAGGGGTTAGCAAGGCTAGAAGGGCACAAACAATTGGAAACTCTATTGCATATTATACAAGAATCAACTCCAACAGACAACTAAATGGGAAAATAGTAACTTAGAGTTTTGTTTCGAATATAGAGATGAGAGAGCATGCAACGAAATGGGATAGAATGGAATGTAAAACATATTTGTTCTTTAGTAAAAGACGAACAAAAATGACAATGAAACATTCTCATACTTCAGAAAAGGCATCGGAAAGAATGGAAATTTTTCTATGCCTAAAAATTGTCTATAAAAAATTCAATAATGAACAATTTATAATAATTACTTCCATTCACTAACCATCCATTTTCCCCAATTTTTGGCACTTCAGAGCAGAAATAAGGTGAAATATATCTCTTCCACTATATCAACCTCCCAAGAAAGTTAAATTCTTAACCTCCTTCCTTTTTCATTCTTTTCTCCCTCTTCAACATCTCTCAAACAAAACCTAACAAAGTTCTCAAACTGGACTCTAACAGGCTTAATAATTATTTATTAATTCTCAGACCAACTATTTTTAACCCTACTTAAGACATTTGCTAGAGTCGGGATGGCCCACCCCAACAGGTTTTATCTGTCTCACCCCTAAACCACCAGGGAATTCCCAAAAGGAGGTAATAAGACAGAGATAGCATTTTGTCACCCAACCTCGCTTCAAATATACCTCAAACTTAAGTGTATCTTGTATATCATACTTTAGCTTCTATAAATGCATAAATTTACATTTGTTGCTGAAATATAGCTTATTTATCAAATATTTTTAATGATATTTAAATTTTGTTCTTCTAAAGTTCCTAATAAAACAAAAATAAACAAACATATTCAACCCCACGAATACCATCGTGCTTTCTCCCTGAATTTTTATCTCTCAAGTCATCCTCAGCCCATCACTAATGGGGCAAAGATGGAAATTAAAAAACCCACAGCATTGCATCCCACCCCATTCCCATCCCTTCCATGCTGAAGCTATTTGATGCAAAGCTATTCACTGCTCCTAGTCTCCTACAAGAAGTACAACAAATCCCTCATAAAAAATCCCTTTTGTTCCATATGAAGGCCTCTTTATCATTTATATCTTCTTCTAAGATTTAATGATGATGCCCCAAATGTATTTCACTGCTGAAGCCCGAAGAAAGACACCACACAGAAGATTTAGAATTTTAAAAAGCATCTTCAATGAGCTACACATGTATGAGGTGCTATCAAGTATACTTCCACAGATTCTAGATTCAGAAAACTGAATTTGAAATAACCTGAAATTTGCACCGTTCAGTTTCTACGGGCAACACGCACCTCCCAAGTTTGTTGGAGATGCAGCAAATTTCAAGCAGACTGATTTAAGCTGGGAACACTGATGCTGCTCAGCTAGTGCAAGTGTTGTAGCCACACTGTCAGCATTAAGTTCCTCACACAACTTCGATTCACATAATAGCTTCAGCCGATCTAAATTATAGAGGTCAGCAACGGCCAGCAGGTGCTGCACCATGTTGGTGAATGCACATGTAGATGTTGAACCCGTAATTTCATGTACATCAGGAAGTTTGTCTGTGTAAATGAATAATAGCATTGCCTGGGAAAAGATCAAGAGTATATTTCAGCAAACATATTCACTCGCAATAAAACCATTTGTGCATGCATAAAAATCTTCACATAATGAAAGTAGACCTTCATAAAATTCCCATTTCATATACATCGGAAAGCAAAGATTTGAGGTAGACTACATTTTAGTTTAGTGACTCCTAATGAAGGAAAATAGAAGAAAATATTTTTTTGTTCTTATTGATTTTCTATCAGTAAAAACAGATAAAACATCAAGAAGCATTACCTTGAAGATAGAAGGCTCAACCTCTTCTACTGCCACTTTATCTGTGTTAGGGTCCCCAACAAGTCCAAAAAATTGTGCTCTAAAAACAGGTGAACGAGCAGCAAGGATCAATTTATGAGCTTTAAACGTTTCATCACCGACCTGGAAAACTACATCACAGCCAACTTCAGATTCTAGCAAGTCTTTAAGACCTTGACCCATGTCCGACGGTGGTACAGGAATCATATATTGTTTTGGTCCTTCAAGCCGAGTTCTAACAACTCCGACAGTGCAGTTCATGATAAGGCAATCGTCCTTTAGGTAATCAGAAGTTTCAAGAGTCGTTCTCCTAAAGAATCGCTTGTAACCCCTGGAATGCATGACAGCCCAGGTGAGAAGAAATATAGACAATTTTACATCAAATTTTACATTAACAGATATAAACTTATTAGTTGGAGAAGTTAAGTTAAACGCAAAATATGCACCAACAGTTCATTAATATAAAGAAATATGAAATTACATTTCATAAATTTCTCATACGTTACTGGAACATTAAAACCAAACTTACTCAAAATGACCCTATATAATACCAAAAATTGACACCACAATGTATTTTAAGCATGCTCGTGTCCTTGAAGTAGGGTGAGGAACGGGTTAGTTATAAGCTCAGTGGAAGGTCATTGACACTAACTGAATTGGACAGTTTATCGGTTTGCTTGCAATAAAAGTAGTCCCATCTCTGCTTTGAACTGGGAAAGAGTCATCTAAAAGGTTATTGGTTCTGTCTACGTTGAGATTGCCCCTATCTATCAACGGGGGACCCCCCGAAAGGCGAATAGGAAGCTTCCAGCGATCTGGGATCCCACCTTTGATCGAGATGAAGGTATAGTTTTCACTAGGAATCCCAGGGTTGCCAGTCAGGTGAAGTAGTTGTTTCTGGGCACAAAGGATTCACTCGCGATTATAGGCCCGGAAAAGGGAAAGCGCACAGGTCTTCAAAAGAGACAAGACAAGGTTTTGATTTAATTCCCCATGGAGGAGGATGCAATATACTAACCCATGCAATTAATATGAACAAAACTACATTGGCAAATTCATCAAAAGTTCCTCTGACAAAATTATATGCAGACCAAGGAATCAATTCATTCTTCTCACAACTATAACAGTGACTCACGCACCAAAAAAAAATGTATTAGCTACACCATGCATAATATGCATGAGCTTTATCGTAAGCAGTTTAGTAAACACAACGACATTTATCAAATGTAGACTATGATAAACAAGCTTTATGCACTAAGCTTCAAATTCTCAAGCTCAATTGGTCATATTAAGAATTAAAAGTGTTTTGGTTTAATGAGGTTTTATCAAAAACAGTACTAAACTTATAATAACACAGGTAAATCACCCATTTTTCAAAATCCACCATATTCCTCAATCAAGCGCCTGAGACCACCTACCATCATCATCAACCCGCCCCTTCCATTAACCACACACTTTTCAAGCGAAACACTCACCTCTCTTACAGACAAATCCACCTTACGCCCAAAGCAAGCCATCTAAACATATCAAGAAAGAACTAAAAGGGTACACTAAACCCTTCTTAAACAAGAATTCACTAAACAATCAACCAACACAAACACAGTAAACAAAAACCAACCCAGAAATGAAACATCAAAATTCAGAACAGAAAACCACCAATTACCACATGCTTCCTCTATACTTCAACGTATAAGGCCCGCTCTCGAGCGCGCGATCGAAGTGGCTGTGCACTTTGTGCTTCCCTTTCCCGCTCTGATCCACAAGCGTCAACTCGAACAAAGCCCTAACATCAGTACCCTCGCTGGCCAAGGCGATAAACACTGAGACATACATGGCGCTGTCCTCGGGGTTTTTGCCGTCGGGGTAGAAGTAAATTGCCCAATCGTAACCCCCCACGGTGAAGACATCGCTCTGTATACACTTACCCGCCCCCATACCTTTGGCCAGCGAGTAACCCTTTATGGTAAATTGGTGAGACCCATTCACTGTCTCGATGATCGACATGGAAGTCGAGTCCTGCTCCGTTTTATCGTTTCCCATGATCTCATCGAAATCCGCCGTCTCTTCAATCTATATAGCAGCAATCCCCTTCAAAACCCAGATGATGCTTTCGCGCGCAACCGATTGACCGGATTGGACAGATTCAGAAATGGGAAGCAATTCCCCCGACCCGATTTGGGTGTACTGATTTCAAGAAATCGGGGGTTTAGTCAATTAGTTTTCGGAAGAAATTTTAGGGCTAACTTTGATTCGGGAAAATTCTGGATTAAAAAGTGAAAATCTTTTTCCCGAATTACACCTGAAGGTTCCCGATCGAAATTCAAATGGAAAGAGAAAGAAGATGGAGTTGTAGTTCGATGGGCAGTTTGGGGATTTAGGAAGGCCACACGAATTAACTTGGTGAAGAAGATGGTGAGTGGTGGTGATATCATGGTATTTATATACACTATCAGTAAAAGCGAAATTAAAAAAAATAATAATAATAATAATAATAAATAAATGAATAATAGGCAGGGAAAGGTAGAAGGAAAGAGGAGGGGAGTTACAGTGGTGATATAGTTTTAACCATCAGTTAAAAGTAAAAAAATTCAAAAGGACGAGATCCAAACTGAATTTACCTAAAAGTAAAATTGACTTTATATATTATTATTATTATTATTATCATCATCATCATTATTTCCCTTAATATTTATGTGTTATTATTCCGGTTTTGAATCAATAATAATTGATAAATCAATATATAACTAAAATAGGAATAAAATATTATTAAAAATTAAATATCTCTAAATAATTAAAAAATATCATAAAAAGTATAATAAGATATTTTCATATTTCAAATAACTACTATATCTATTTTATTAGAATTAATAATCATTTAATGTTTAGTCTAAGATGTTGAATAAAAAATATACGATTGTTATGCAAATGTTATATGTGAATATTTGTAAAAATAAAAAATAAATAAATTTGATTGATTCTTCAATTATTTTTAAATATGTCATTACTCACTACCAAGCAGCAGCCTAACATTTTCCGTGTGTTCGTCAGAGCTCCGTTCAGTCACCTCTGCTAATTTAGCGTAACCGGTCCGACACTGACTGCCAGCTCAGCTCCTATATTTCCGTTAAAACATCTGTTATATAAATTAACGACTCTCCAAAAATACCCCAAAAAAAAATAAAAAATAAAAAATAAAATGAAAAACCTCACTTGAACTTCCTTGCTAAATCTTCATCTTCTCCCTCAAATTCCCAAAACACAGATCTCATCATTTCTTAGATCTTTTTTTTTCTTTTTTCTTTTTTTGAAGAAAACCGACACCATGAAGAGATTAAACAATGTGGAATTCCTCAGGAACCCTACGGTGGTCAAGATCTTAGCCTTCGTTTTCATCAGCTTCGCTTTCTTCTACTTGGGCAAGCACTGGTCTGATAATGGATACCAACAGCTCATCTTCTTCACTGCCGGAAATACCCCAATATCTGTTACTGTTTCACCGAACTACAACAAGGAGTACAATATCTCCTCTCTAACATCGCAAAACCTGACTCAGCAGGAAGCCCCTGCAACGTCTCCGACTCGAGCAGAGGATCCGGCGGTTCCATCTTCTCATTCTCTTCCTCTTCCTCCTCCTCCTCCTAGTCCATCGCTTCCCCCGCCACCGCCACCGCCGGATGTGGTGCAGAGCTTCGGGATCGTGGACGAGAATGGGACGATGTCTGATGAATTCGAGGTCGGAGTGTTTGATCCGGAACTGGTGGAGGAGTGGGGAAACGAGACGGAGATCGATGAGGGGAAAGGGAACGGCGTCCAGCGTAGAATTAGGGTTACGAAATTTGGGCTGTGTCCGGATAGTATGCGGGAATATATACCGTGTTTGGATAATGAGGATGCTATAAAGAATCTTAAGTCTACGGAAAGAGGGGAGCGCTTCGAGCGGCATTGCCCGGAGAAGAAGCCATTGAATTGCTTGGTCCCGCCGCCGAAAGGTTACCGGCCGCCTATTCCATGGCCGAGAAGCCGGGATGAGGTATTGGTCTTCTTTCCCCTGGAGGGGTTTTTGAGCCCATTTTTCTTTTTTCTGGGGAGGGGGGTGGGGACCTCTTTTTTTGGCTGATAAAATTTGTTTTGTTTTCTTGATTTTGAAGAATCTGTAAAATGAATTGGTGGTTTTAAGTGCATTTTAGTTTGTCATATCTGCACTTGAGTGTAGATTGGAACTTTTGCATTTTTCTCGTTCCATGTATCAGTCATTTTGCTGTTTCCTGATATTGTTAGTTTTACTAGAAAACGACATATGACTGATGATCCATTAACTGAAATTTTAGTTGTTCTCCTGCATATATATGCAATGGTTTTCTTATTAGAAACTACTGATTCATTCATAGGTATGGTTCAACAATGTTCCTCATACTCGTCTTGTTGAAGATAAAGGGGGCCAAAACTGGATTTTCAGACAGAAGGATAAGTTCAAATTTCCAGGAGGTGGTACACAGTTTATACACGGGGCAAATAAATACCTGGATCAGATATCTGAGGTTGCTGAATTTTAAATTTCATGTTTACATGAAGTGATTGCTTCCATGACTCTGGTCTCTGATGCTCAAATTTGTACTTCTCTTTGCAGATGGTTCCTAATATTTCATTTGGTAAACGTATAAGGGTGGTTTTGGATGTTGGATGTGGTGTAGCAAGTTTTGGTGCCTATTTGTTATCACGGAATGTCTTAACCATGTCTGTTGCCCCAAAAGATGTTCATGAGAATCAGATTCAATTTGCTCTTGAGCGTGGTGTGCCTGCAATGGCAGCTGCATTTGCAACGCATCGATTACTGTATCCAAGTCAAGCTTTTGACTTGATTCATTGTTCAAGATGTAGAATCAATTGGACTCGTGATGGTATGCAACTGTCTTTTTGACTCTCTTTCATATTCTTTTTCATGGTAGTAGAGCAGGGTCAACAATTTTTGAGCAACCATGTAAATTTATAATTTAGAAATGCCATAACTCAATTCTCTGCAGCATCAGCTATATCTGTTCTATGCTCAAGTAATCCCCAAATTCATGTTATACCGTATTAAAAGAGGCAGTGAAGGGCTATTTAGATGTATATATATAAATATATATTTAATGATATAAAGGAAAAAAAAATTATTTCAAAAAGTAATATAAAGGAAAAAAAGAAAGATGACCATGGTATATTGACCCGTCCAAGCTTGATTGGATGTCTCGAATGACTCTCGAATCAAGCTACCAATCACCTTTTCTCTCTTCCAATCAATCAAAAGTAGATTTATTTAGTATAAGGTCATCTTTTTAGAAGTTGGAATTTCTTTAGGAAAATGCCTTTATTACCAGACCAGAGCATGGAGTCTTTCTTGTTCAAGTAAGCCAATTTATTGAATTAGGACAGGCCTGAGGCAGAGTTCTGTGTCCCAGAAATAGAACTATTCATTACAGCAGCTCAAGCTGAAGGCTCTATGACTGACAGCATCTTTTGCTAAATCTTTTCATTTTCCTGATTTCTTATTCTTGTCAAGGAAAAGGTGTGCATACATGATTAGTACGTGAGGTATTTATTGTCAGAGTGATTAGAGCAATGTTTTTATTTGAACCTTTCCCTTTCTTATGTAGTCCTTTGTAGTAATTTCCTATTCTGAATCAGCTGTTTACTACAGAGTTTGAGATCATAATGTCCTAGCATTATTAACTGATGTGTCTCCAGAGCTTTTGCCTTGGTTTTACTGGTGAAAGAGGATACTCTTTAAAGGTCTAGAATTAATTTATGCTCAGCAAACTTATCTGACTGGTTCTAGAAAGTTAGTTTGTGTTTCTTTCTTTCATCATTATTTGGAACTATGCATGATGAAGCTGTTCTGACATATATTCTCTGATTCTTTCATTTTTGTGTACATGAGTTGTCATGAAGATGGCATTTTGCTCCTTGAGGTCAATAGGATGCTTCGGGCTGGAGGATACTTTGCCTGGGCAGCACAACCAGTTTACAAGCATGAGGAAGCCTTAGAGGAACAGTGGGAAGGTATCACTAAGAGGAACTTTTATTTAAACCAGACATATTGAGAAGTTATTATGATGAAATTGCTAAGTTATGCTACGGCAAGTCAGAATATAAAAATTTCTATTTGTTCTGTTTCTACATTTCTTGTTTCAAGATTGTATGACAGGGTTCCACCCCATACAAAAGAATTGTTCTATCTTTGCTACAAGTAGAAAGGTCTGCAAATTCCCCTAATTCCCAGAAATATGAAAAGGTTTCACCGTATCCTATTCCTTACTGTCAACAATTGATTTAAACCTATGTCTCTTTGGTTCCCCATGGACCAGGGACATTAAACAATTACTCTGTTAATTACCCAACTGAACAAATTATTATCTGTTCATACGAGTAATTCCAAAAATGGAGACCTCTTTCTAAAATGTATAAGACCTATCACCTTTTTTCAATAAAACAATCTAAACAATCAACCATATCTTTATGTTATGGTATTTTTTTTATTTGATTCCTTTATGAACTTGTCCTGGTATGCATATTTTGTTTATTGATGATTCTGTGTGCCAATAGTGGATAATATATATATTTATCTATGAAAATAATTCTTTCCCTCGTATCTGTGCTTCCAGAGATGTTTAACCTTACCACTGGTCTTTGTTGGGAACTTGTGAAGAAGGAAGGATACATAGCAATATGGCAGAAGCCCTTTAATAACAGCTGCTATTTAAGTCGTGAGGCAGGAGCGAAACCTCAATTGTGTGGTCCAGATGATGACCCAGATAAAGTTTGGTAGGCTGTACTTGGCTTTGTTTGTGTTTATGGTTACAATGGATCAGCATGTGTTTCTTAGCTGTTGTTTATTGGCCAGCAAATTAGTCAATATGGTGGTTGGTAATTACACTGCAGAATTGTTAACCTGACACTAAATGCTAGTAAAGAGAGTTTAACCCAATCACTCCCATCTCCTTGGACACCTGTAACCTCTAGTACTTAGGTTTTCTTGTGTGATACCCTAAACATCCCTAGCATCCAGCATCCTGCATTCTGCATTCATCAAAACTAGCATCCCGGAAAAATAATTAGCTTGATCAATTCCCTTTTTGTCCCGGTCAACTTTGCAACTCGAAATAATAAAATTGATTGATTTAATTTGCACAACCATGCGCAAGTTTTCTGATACTTGTTTGAAAGTTATCTGAAAATTTCAACATGTTTGCCAAAATTTTAGACCTTCTGGTAGTATTTTTTTTTTATTCGTAATAAGACATTGATAGATTAATCTATATTTCTATATGCATTCAGACATCTTGATTTGTGTTATTATAAAGTTTCTGGTTATTGTTAGTAATAATACCATGTGCCATGATTACTATAGGTATGTGGACCTGAAGCCATGCATCAGTCGAATTCCTGAGAATGGTTATGGAGCCAATCTTGCTCCATGGCCTGACCGTTTACAAACTCCACCTGATAGGCTGCAGACCATACAAATTGATTCATATATTGCCAGAAAAGAGCTCTTCAAGGCAGAATCAAAATACTGGAGTGAAATAATAGAAAGCTATGTCCGTTCTTTACATTGGAAGAAGATGAAATTTAGAAATGTTTTGGACATGAAAGCTGGCTTTGGAGGGTATAATATTTATTGCATCCCCTGGTGCTCATTGTGATATTCTTTCAAAAATCTCAGACTTTACTATATTCATTGGTTTTTGCAGATTTGCAGCAGCATTAATCGAGCAAAAATTTGATTGCTGGGTTCTCAATGTTGTGCCCATTAGTGGACCCAACACTTTGCCTGTTATTTATGATCGTGGATTATTAGGAGTTATGCATGACTGGTATTATTCCTCAACTGTTTAAAAGTAGCAACTTGGATATAATACATTATAAATTCAGATACTGTTAATACTGTTTAAAAGTAGCATGTCCTAGTATTTCCTTCTTATTTTACTACTTCTGTCATTTCCTTCTTACTTTGATCTACGACAATTCATTTTATTATTTGCATGCGAGTATTTGCTATCAGTTGAATCCAGCTTTGATGTGCTAACAAAGTTGCCCCAAAATTTATCAGGTGTGAGCCATTTGATACGTACCCAAGAACCTACGATTTCTTGCATGCAGCTGGCCTCTTCTCTACTGAGAGAAAAAGGTAAGATCTCTACTGGCAGTATTTAATGATTAAGAAAATATTATGCCTCAAGTATTAAATCTGCACATGACTATGTTGGATTGTGTTTGAAGCAATGTAATTGTCAGTACCATTAGAAAATTGAATGGCAAATTGGAATGCTTACAATGCAGACTACATAATTCTACACACAAGCTAATGGCTTTTCTCATTCATATACTTTTCCTGTTTTAGATGCAATATGTCAACCATCATGCTTGAGATGGACCGGATATTGAGACCTGGTGGGCGTGCATATATTCGTGATTCCATTGATGTTATGGATGAACTTATGGAGATTGGCAAGGCCATGGGTTGGCATACATCATTACGTGACACATCTGAGGGCCCCCATGCAAGTTACAGGATTCTAACATGTGATAAACGGCTCCTGCGTTCTTGAAAGCAACAAAACATAAGAAACCCAGGTTGCACTTTTCTTGTGATAACTGTAAAGTTACGATCAACAAAACCCAGCTAAACACGATTTCAACATGAAATGGTATTGATCGATAGAGGAATTTCCCAAGGAAGACTCAGAATTGTCAGATTCACATAAACGGAGAGAGAGAGAGAGAGAGAGAGAGAGGTTTAAATTGTTTTTACTTGAGGCAAACACATTCATTATGTTAGTTATTTTAGTGGGTGTAAATTCTGGTATGGCAAAATGTTGGCTGGTGACAATGCCATGCTGGAATAGGTCCTTGGGCACCTGAAAACGTTACTGCTTTCCTTGTGAGATAAAACTGTATAACAGATGTTCAAATTGTACATGAAGATTTCTTTAGTTGATTCTGTATCAAGTATTACTATTTATGTCAGAATCCACATGGAAAACTAACAAGTCACATTTATTACATTCTTTTCTTTAACCTTGTTTTTTAATTCATGGGTTAAGATTTCATAGCTTCATTATTTTGATTGTTGGTGGTTTCATTTTTTCTCTACAGGAGTAACATTGAATCTTAAAGTTGTGTGCTTTATTAATTGTCATTTAATTTTAGTAGTTTTTAGTTTTAATATGTACAATAAGAAGCTGAGGTTATTGGATTTATATAAACTCTACGCCACATATAATTTTCTGGGTAGAAAATTCAATTCGTATATTTCAGATAGTTACAACTTAGACTAATAAATTATATTGAAGTTTTAAATTATCATAGGCTTTGAATAGAAAGTAGAGTTATAGGTTCCAATACTCAGACCTAAAGAAGTGTTACTTCATCAATGGTTAACCCAACCATGCTCATTATCTTTTTTATTAAATTATTTGTTTATTAATATATTTACATGCTTTTATCTAATTTGATTAAAAAGCTGAATAGATTCAAATCCATTTTAACTCAAACGTAAATCTTTTAGCCTTCTTGTATCCCTGCATATATAGTACATACACTCACGAAATCATTATGTATATTCACAGAACTACTTGCAAACAGTTCTCTTATGTGTCCAATCATGGAGAACATCCGGTGCTGAACATCCAAATAGCTTTACAAGGCTACCGTTCCTATCAGCATTCATAATAGAAATCAGGCAGCAGAAGCTATTGCCAAAGCAAAAGATCAAACAAGTTTACTATTCTCTCCCAGATTTTTGCCGCCAGATTTGCTGGCCTTCGCTGTAACGTTGCTGCACCGGTCTACGTGCCGTGCCTACATTCGGACAATAATCATTTACTTGACCCAGATGTTGCTGCACAGGTCTCTGAACACCTACATTGTTGGGATGGTTCACTTGGCCGGTGTACTGCTGCACAGGTCTCTGTGCAATTACCTTGTTAGGATGATTTACTTGACTGACATATTGCTGCACAGGTCTTTGGGCAACTATATTGTTTGGGTGACGATTTACTTGCCTTTTGTTCTGGAATTGGCGTTGTTGCTGCTGTTCCAAAGGAAAACGCACTGCTCTCACATTGACATACCGAGGTAGAGCTGGCGAGGACAAGTGCACATTCTGAAATTGATGTTGACTTTGTGAAGGTGACTGCACTGGTTTCGGATTCTGATACCATAGTTGAGCTTGAGCAGGCGAGTACACAAACCTAGGAGCTGGTGGAGGAGGCCCATGTGCACTATTGGAGGTTGGAATCTTGCCCAACATTCTTGCTGTTTGAGGCCTGGCTAGGGTGTCAAGGAGAGCATTCTGATGGTCGTATGGCGAGATAACTTTACAGCGAGACACTTCAAAGATTTCTGATATCCTTGTTAGTTGTTTTGCATTAACAGCTCTGGCTGTGTTTTCTGGTTGCTCGAATGGATCCTCGATCTGATCATACATAACAGTTGCAGTTGCATTGTCATTTCCTTCTGTTTGGTTTAATTCATAAGCTTTATTCTCACTAAAGAATGGGAAAAAGTAGAACAAACACATAAGAGGAAAGATTATGAGAATTACAAATATTGCGTAATTTCTGGGCATCCATCTCGTATTGCTTCTTGTGTCCTCCCATCGACCTGTAAACGGACAAATTCCTTGTTCCAAAGCCTGTGAACTTAGCTCAGAAAACTGCAAAAACATGAAAAAGAAAAAAAAAAAGATTATGACATCGCTCTTTTATCATCAGAAGTAAACCATCCCCACCATTGCTGACATAAACAACAGATTTACTGATCTGGAAAAATTGCTATCCACTAAACATATAAATAAGTTAGAAATCTTTGGTTATTAATTTGAAGGGAAGTAAATAACTACCTATCATTACTTATTTTTAAAGATAAATAAAACATTTTGACAAGAGTTATCACCTTTGCAAGGAAAGAAATGAAAAGTTCAGACAAAGAACTTCGATTGACTGCTCTAGATTTGTCTGATAAAAACCTGGCTATGTTAGCAGCGCATGTTTCTGATATTAGTTTCTCAGCATTAGCCCTCTCACCTGCATGAAACAAAATGGAAAAGTAATCTTCTAATTAAGAAATTGGCATTTAAGCAGTCACCATTGTGTGTAAAAGGTTATGGAATTATCTCACATCATAAAAATCCATCACGGTCTTCAGAAAGCAGCACAACCAACTACAAACTAGTCTGTACATCAAAAACTAATCTCTCACCCAACAACCAAATGACAAGGAGTCAAATGATAATGAGAATGAAGGGGTTTAGTAGCAAAGTGATTCCAACAGCTATTCCTGAGGCTTTTTAGGACCAATCATGAATCGATCTGAACTACTGGAGAACTCCAGCACCCATAACGAATTGAGTAGGGTTAATGAACTATAGAAGGCTGGAGCTTCCAACAGTCAAAGAGAGAAGTTGCTCCAAATTAAAATACCGACCTCTACATTTGTTTTTTTAACAATTCAACCTCAATATTTGAAGAATACAAAATGTTGAGTTTATTAGAAAATACAAGACATTTGGAATTAAATAAGAAACTACCTTGAAGATCATCTACAACATTCCCCGGGTATATATCTTTTAGAGGAGGAAATATTGCTGGTACACAAGTCTGCCAGAAATAGAAGGCAAAAAGTAAAAAGGACAAATCAATAATGAGTTCCAGCTTATCTTTTCAAATGCGACATTTTCTTATAAGGTAGATAAAGAACTCCTGGATGTTCCAATGAAGACATAAAATGAGAAAATTAAAACTTCACGGGAGCCAAAAGAAGAGAGAAAAGAAAAAAAGAAACAATACATTAATAAGGATAAGCTACATAGTTTAATACTATGGCCTAGAATTGAAGAGAAGAAACAAGATGCTGGGCACAAGATAACCTGAAGAAAAAGAAACTAAAAACCTAGTGTTTGTGAGACACAATATTATTTTTTGGAATGCAAAATAGAAAAATCACATTCACAGGTAGGGTTGGCCCAATTCTATTAAGCTTCCCAGGAAAAAAAAGGTCTATTTTGACACAGTTTAGGCTTTCCATTATGTAGCTGAATTTGTTATTCTAGATCAAGCTATTCATTTGAGTGCAGGTTCACCAAATCACCTGAAAATGGAAGACTACGAGTAAACTGAGAGAATAGGAATTGAATGTCCCGACTTTTGGATTATTGATGTCATTTGCTTTAGCCCATTCCTTCACCTACACAATCATGGATGAATAAATCAAATGAATACATTTAATCCCCAGAATTTCCAATGTTGATTTGCTAGTAGAGCATACCAGTAAAACCATGTCCCGGAAACGTCCATCTATTTGACTAATCCAAAACAATAACTTAGATTTTATCTGGCCCTGCAGATTATCAATTGAGATATCACAGGAGATGGCCCTGTGGTTGCTCTCAAGCTTCAAAATGGGAACACGGGCATTGGGAATAAACTGAACCCTGCAGAATCCACCTGTATATTAATGTTAGACATATAACCTAATAAACAGGAGCCACAGTCATTATGTACAGAATGGAAATTGGTATTTAGAATAAATTTCAGCCTGCGGGATCAACTTGTATATTATCATCATGCGACATATAGCTTGCTTCCTAACATACACAAGAGCCGCATAACAACCCCAGCATGACACCATGCATGCATGAAATGCAAATTCAAGGAAGAAAAGACAAGAATTATGCACTTGCTTTCTAATTTCTTTTGAAAATTTAAAAAATAAAAAATGAGGCCATTAAGTTTAAACAAGGCACCTTTCTGTCTCAATGCGTTCAGTAACTCTCCAAGTAAAGTCTGTTTCCGTCTTTTTCCAGCAGATGAGAGACATGTTCCATTCATTAACTCAACAGAAACATCCAAGTCGCCCAATCTTGTAAAGAGATTAGAGACAAATGATCCAAATGGCTCCACAGTTGCACCTGTGTGTGCACAAAAATTAGGCAAGAATCTAGAATGAAAATCAAAATAATGAACTGCCACACACAAATATTCTAAAGAGAATTATAAATTCTTTACTGATATATCTTGTTTCTCCTTCATGATGTAAAAAGCTAATACTAGAGACTTCCATTGTAAACCATTCTTTGGATTTCATGAGACAGAAATTGTTCCATTCCCAAGAATCACATGAAATATTTCATTGAATTGATCTGTTCCTCAATATGCCTAGGAATGTCATTGGGTGATCATCTGAAATACATTGACTTCTTTGGCAAAATAAATATCTTGTTGGCCACATAAGTTAATACAACTGTCGATGACAAGTTTTGGCACAGGAAATCACCTCTCAAGCTATCCACAGATCCAACGACTTCCTGCAATTGGTTAATGACTTGAAATCTTATCTCCCAATCCTCCCGTAGAGGTTTGATCACATTAAGTATGTCATTGAGCATCAGCTCTAACACACTATACACACTCATAATGTCTCACTCTGTAAGCCCAAAGAAGCCATTAAAAATGTCAAAAATGAGACAGTAATTACATTGAGCACCAACAGATATAAGCATAAGACAGTGTAGGAGCAACAATACATGATACTTAACGATGCTAATTGAAAACATATAACTGAATAAGAGCCCCGTAGCCCCTTGTAATATAAGGATACTCCAGAATCTTTTTAATCTTATTATTTGAAATCAAAGTTTTTCCCAGAAAACTTCACTATGAACTAAAGAAAAGACAAGGACCTTTCCAAGTAAATATTCACATTTTACTTGAGGATGAAAACATATTATGAAATGAATTAATATCTGAACCTACAAAATACAAATACATAACAAACAGAGAACTTCAAAAAGAAGTAAAAAGATAAAAAGCTAACCTTAATACTCCTAATTTATTTAAGTAAAAATTGAGCAATAAAAACTTGTGATTAGCAGAAGAAAATTACCTAGTAAGTAGTATGCATTTGTTAACAAAACTTTACATAGAAAGCTTCTCGGCGCAACTGCTGTCCTTTACTGGGTTAAACAATATTATCATCACCTTTTTGTATCATTGTCACGGCTTTCAGAGCCTAGCACATAATTATAAGTCACCCAAGTCATAAACTGAGGGTATGTTTGAGAGAGGATAAGTAACGAAATAGAGGGGAATGATAAGTAATGAAATGCAAAAACATTTTACTTTTTTTGGGGAGAACTGGAACAATATGTCCAAGTAAAGAGAATTATCGAGAGTAATTAATATAAAAATAGGAAACAGTGGCTGGGGTTCAAAGAAGTAAATAAGCATACTTGAACACCAGCATAAACTAACTTGTATTTACTTCATATTCATTCTCCCCAAACTGGAGAAGGGCAATTCCCTTTCCACTCCATTACTAAACTGGCTCTGAAAAAGGTCAAGTAATAAACCTCTCTATTTTCTCCTATCCATACAAACTTAAGATTTGATTGAAGGGCACTTCATCACCATCCATCAATATTTCTGGGTTAGAACTTGGTTCACTGTCAAGCAACACAGATTTCACATGCTACTGCTCTGAATTTCCTTTTAATAACCAAAACCCACTAACTCTTCCAGATCAAAGATTACAATCCCACATCAATTTTCAGCTAAACTCTGATAATTTAACTTAGCTAAGGACCAGGAATACAAGTCCAGAACATGTAAATAAACACAAAAACAAAATACCCAGTAGCAACACTAATAAAAGATGGTAATTCTCTATTCCAAAACTTAAACTTCATCCAATTCCATTACATCATAATCAGAATCAACATTAAAGAAAACAAAAAAGAGGCAACCTCGATAAATACCGACACGCGGTATATTTAAAAGCACCCGTTTGAGAGTAAGATTACCAGGAAGAGAAGAATCAATAATGAACAAAGAAGACGCCTTTTTCTTCTCTTCTAGGGTTCTCGACGACTTCACTAGTCAACTCATAACAATTAAACCTCGCCCATAGTTATTACCACCAACCCAAAACCCACATTTCAAACTCTCGATGCAATGCAAATCTTGGTAAAAGCTATAAAATATATGAATAAAAAAGTAGAGAGGAGTGATGTTTTGCTTACTGAGGAGGGTTTTCTTTCTCCCTGTCTCGCCTTTTCAGTGGGTACCAAATCAACAGTAGCGGGAAACAGACAATGATCAAAGCACTGGTTCCCGAGTAATTTTGCAGTCAAAATTACAGGGTAATTGTAAATTTGTCAACTCTGGAAAAGATCCTTGTTAGCGTTTGGCTGCTATCGTTATTGGGTTTGTATCGGTTTTCCTGAACAGGGGACTTCAAAGACAGAAATCGAATTTGACTCTTGTCTGTAGGTGTTTTTTGGTTTTTCTTTTCTTAAATCAGTGTTTTAGGGTTTGTAAATTGGGGAAGATTCTATTATATTTGAGTAAAAATATTGATCAATTGGGAAGAAGTACATTCTTCGAAATTTTTGCTGCTTTATTTTTATCATTACGTTTATTAATATTACATTCCCAAAATTATTTAAGAAAACCGAGTTTTGATTTTTGAATTTTTAGAGTAAAAAAAAAAATAGTTTGTACCTAACAAAAAGTATACAAACAATTGATGTATTTAATAACAGCCAATTTAATTTATTTTTTAAAATAATGAATTTAATGTTTTGGTAAGTTTAATATTAACGTAAATCAAAATTCTTTAAGAAATTCATTTGTAGTTGTATGCAGTTTATAGATATTCAAACTTCAAAAATATATTTTTATGAAACATATTTAAAATTTGACACTTAATTTAATTAAAAAAATAATACAATTTTTGTTAAGTTTGATAAATTTATGATATATTATCTTAATTTAATTTAACTTGACGTTAGAACTTAATTTGTATAAAATATAAAATTTATTATATATTCCATCCTAATAATGAGTTTAGCTTGAGATCCTTATGGGCTTTACAAGCCCAAATATTTATTGGAGTTCATTTAATTTACTAAGGTCATTATAATATTGGGCCTGGTTATTTATGGGTTGAATTTCATATAATATATAATAAATATATATATATATATATATATTTTTTCTCATACACACCCTTGATATATTTTTATTAAAAAATATATATATATATGTATCATTAAATTTGAGATTAATTTTTTTTTTTCTGAGATGCTTAAAATAATGCACAAAAAGTGAAAGCTATCAAAAAGTCGTAGCTTAAATAATTACTAGCAATCACCCAATTTGCATATAATTACAGAGAACCTGCTCTTTTATGATGTTAACACCACCTTAGAAGAAGGAAAATATATATATAAATAAATAAATATTATAATAAGATAACAATTCCTTACACACACACGCACATATATATATATATATATATGTACAGTAAATGAATATATAATGAATTTGGACAAAACGACAGTAACAAAATTAACTACTCAATACAAAAAAAAAAAATAGCAAAAATAATTATTGGACAAAAACATGTTTTCAATTATTATTTGATTTAAATAAGTTGATGTATTTGATAAAATTTTTTATGAGTTATTTTTATATTTATTTTAAAAAATATTTAATGTATATTATATAAAAAAAATTAATTAATTTTTTTATAAATAAATTTATTTCAACAAAAATAAATAGATGAATTATTTATTTTTAGAAATAAGTTAAAAGCATCACGTTTCGAATATACGTTAACTAATGAAATTAGAAAAAGAAAATGATTGAAGTAAAGGGAGAAGGGTGATGAGTCAGCGTGAGGGGTTCATGATGCCATCAACATCAAATCTAAAACAAAATCTTTGCGGAACAACACCAGATGCTAACGTGGACGATGCTGATTGGTAGATGAACAAAAAGGAATTTAAATAAATAAATAAATATTCCCATTAATTTCTATATCTATATGTATTCATACATATATTTGGCCTCTCACTCTATTTGAAAGCCATAAATGAACCCCCAACAATCAATACAATCACATCCCATCATGTCCCAATTGGGTGCTTTTCTTCCCCAAGTTGACCTAATTTCTTTTTTATTTTTTTGACATTTTCTTATTCATATATACACATACATATATATATATATATATATATATACACATACACATTCATCGTGCTTCTTTGTTTAAGTTTTTGGGAAGTTTGAGGATTATAAAATAAAAAAATGGTATTGTGTTCCGTATATTATGATATACATCATAAAATTAAAAAAATAAGTAATAATATTTATTTTAAACGATGGAAACATCATCATAATCATAAAATCGTGAATAAATAAATATTATATTCCAAATCAATGGGAACAAATTTTCAAGTGCATGCACACAGGTTTTGGGAATGAGAGAATTGAGAGTCAAAACATACGATGACTTGCGTTTATGCTTTTGTTTTAAAAGATGATCTGGTCAAAGATTGTATTGTAAATAGCATATAATGTGTGGTTAAATTTAAGTTATAATTAGTGTACTGTGTATAATTTACTTAGAATTATACGAATTATTATATAAAAAAATAAAAATAAAAAAAGTTGTATATACAAAATAATTATTATTAAAAAAAGTAAAAAAAAAAACATACTTGTTTGCTACAATTAGTGATATAAAACTCAAATATTTATAATCATTAAATAAACATAAAGTTAATGGCCAACACCTCTTTGAACCCATGTGACGTGATGTCTGCTCGAACACACATATTTAATTTGGGTTTAAAATCATATGGACACACGCATTTATGCATATCATACAAATTAAAAGTCAATTATTGGACTTGACTCCTATTTTCTGCAGATGATTTACTATATTTCGTGTAATACGATTTACCACATATATATATATATATATATATTGCTCTTTGCAATTTTCGTTTGAACAAATTCATCCCCTATGTGTATTAAAAGAACAATAAAATAGATACAATTTTTTTTCACATGTTTTCCTCTTCATCTTAAAGAGAAACTTCCTGCAAATTTTACTATAACAAACACAAAAATTATTTTACTTTTTCCTCCAAAATATGACCGTTGATTTTACAGTCCTCTACCAAACAGATTATTCCCGACGATTCCTTCTCAAATCTACGACGAGAACGCTCACGTTGTCCGTGCTGTGCCTGGCCAACGCCAGCTTCGTCAACAATATCGACGCATCGGAGCACGCTCTGTTGGAGCTCTCGCCGGCATCTCCCGAATTCACCGTTTCCGGCGGAGATGGCGGGGACGAAGCGCCCTGCGAGCGCAGACAGATGCGCGCCACCCCGCATGCAGTGTCGTTTGACACCACGTCCCACAACCCATCGCTTGCCAGAATCAGACACTCGTCTTCGTCCGTCCGATCGATCACCGTCACCTCCGGCTTCGACGTAACGTACGGCTTCAAGTAATTGTCACCTGAAGATTATCAGAAAATTCAAATTAGAACTAAACAATCTAATTGTTTGGTTATTTTAACTTCTAACTGAAGAAGACTGGCCCCCCTCCTACCGATTGCTCGAGACATGGCCAGAACGCCGAGGACTCGCGGGCCATCCCAGTAAATCACGCGTCCACCGGCTTGGTTGATTCGTAATAACTCGTCGGGACGATCCGGCTGCAATCATGAAAAAGCCAAGTTAATTCACAGACACCGGAGCGTGCATAACAAACGCCGATAACTCTTATTTAAATAAGGGTATCAGGGAGGGAAACTTTAAGTACTTTACCTTGTGGTCCGAAGAGAGGGGAACGGCAACGCCGTTTCGGCAGAGAACGGCACGGGAATCGCCGCAATTAGAGACAACTATTTTGTCCGGAGTGACGATGGCGACCACGGCGGTTGAACCCACCGCGTCGCACTGCGGAGTCTGAAGCTCGCAGCGGCATGTAGTTGTCGTAGCCGCCGGGGTGCTCCCGGTGCACCACTCGCTCACCTCCGCGTCCATCCTTTCGAAACTCTGCTCCATCGCCTCCTTCCACTCCACCGCCGGCGATGAATTCCTTTTCCTTTCCACCTCTTCCTTCACTATCTCATGAAACCGCTCTTTGCACCTCATCGCAACCTGAAAATAACCCAAGAAGCCATTAACGTACTGAATTCTGAAACCAATTTTGGGGGGGGGGGGGGGGGGTAAAAATTCAATAATGATTATAAGATAATTACATGAGAGCAGCCATGGCCGTCGAATACACCGAAAAAGTGAATTCCGTTAGAGTCTGCTGCCGACTCTTCCTCGCAAAACAAGGGGTGGATCGAAACGGCGTCTTCCATGTCCCGTCTCCTCCCGCAAACGGAGGTCATCCCAAAACTAGGAACGTCTTGCACGGCGTCGTTTTGAGCTCTCAAATTCGAACTCACTACCACCTTGTTCTCTCCCATTGCGCTTTTATGTTCGCAGCTCGCCACTGTGTTCTCGCACCCCTGGCTACGAGGCAGAACCATCTCGAACTTCCGCCTTCTGACGCCGTTGTCTAACGGCGGCGATATAAACTTGAAGGGAGCCCGAAGCTCCATCCGCCGGCGCCGGGCTGCTCGCGAACTCGGCTCCACCGGAGCAGCAGACTCGCTCTCCCCAACTACACCACAACAAATTCCAGCCATATAGCCAAGGATTAATACTCGATAACCAACTAACAATTGAAAGATATGAAGACTTGCTTATATTAAAAGCTAACAACTTTCTGCGACAACGAAACAAAGGAAGATACAGAAGATCTCTGTAAACCGAGGAGAGGACCCATTAAAAATGGCGAGCTTGGAAGCTTTTTCTACAGAGAGACATGACCCAGGCTTCCTTTCACTTGAGGGCCCCACGTAATTAAGGGCAGCCTACCGTCACCAGCTCGGGCAGCATTCAACACAGACACGTTCAGGTTGCAATGACGTTTATCTACTGAACACAAATATAACGATAATAATTATTAGTATAATAATCAGTAATCAGCACCGTCCATCACCTTCGCGATCTGTCTCTCTCATCTTTCTTTTCGACACGTGTACTTACCTCTCTTTTGGGGTTTGTACGTGGCCCAATCAGATTTCAACACGAGTCGTTAAAGGCGCGTTCACTCTTCTATATCACGCATGTGATTCTGCGGGAGGTGACCACCTGCTACTTGGCCTGCGTCATTTTTCTCATTGCATCACCCTCTCGCCGGCGGCTGAAGTTGTTGGTGGGCCTCGCAGAGAGTCTCCGGGTCGAAGAGCAAGCCGAAGAATGTAGAGAGAGGAGGCAGATTTGTAATTAACTTGTAAAAATTTTTAGATTAAAATTTAATCTATTTAAGATGAGAGATTTTAATTTTTAAAATTAAAAATTAATTTAATTGGAATATTAAAAATTTAAAATAGTATTAAAAGTATAATTTGGCCCTTCTGTAAAAATCATTGTTCAGGCGCGTGCTCTAAACGACATTAAGAGAAGATAAACAAGAGTCAAGTGGTGAGATAGTTAGAACAGTCACGTGGCATCTGGCCTCGTAGCGTCACCGGCCCATGCTCCTAGGCGGACCCTACTTTTCCAGCTACAATCTTTTGCGTGGCAACTTGTTAGTGGTCACCCGGTTCCCACTTGTACGGTTATGTGGGACCTACATAAAGCACGGCCGTACACGTGTCACATTAGCTTCCGCGTTGGGTTCTTTCTTGGGGAGCCGCCAGGGTATTTTCATAATCTTGATATTCTTTGATTCTTACCAAAATATTATAAAATCAAATAAAATAATATATATTATATATATATATATAAGAAATGAAAAAAGAGTATAAGAAAGTAAACAAAAAGTCTTTTCATCAAATTCACTATATCATAAAATTTCTCACAACTTCAATTTATAAAAGTATAATGGGAAGAGATGAAAGAGAAAGAGGTATAGATGTTCATAACTCGGCATAATTTAAAAAAATCATAATACTCCCACTTGAATGTTAATTATGATAGAAATATTATTTAATTACAAATCTTATTAAGAAAATTCAATATGATGAAACATTAATCCGGGAGAAAAAAAAAAAAAGTATCACTCCCATCCTTTAAAGAATTATATGTATGATTTTTTTTTATAAAATAGATTACGTGTCTCTTGAATATGTTGAATCATCAATCTCAATCATATACATTTTATAATTATTTTGTAAAAATAAGTTTTCATACATAATTTAATAAACAGTAACTGTTTTATTAACTGCTATGATCTTATTGTACCACCATACGTGAATAAACATCATGTTTGATATTTAATTTTGTATGGGTTAAATAAATACTCCAAATATGTATAACAAATTAATTGTTATTTTAATTATTTTAAATAAAACAAGTTCATGTCTATTATTCATTTAAAATATATGAATATATATTTATTTTATTTTTGATATTTTATTGTTAAGGGAATAACTATATATCGTGTCGAGCATTATTAATTAGATAGATATATTAGTGCACTTATAGCACTAAGATACGTTACTTCATGATCAATTAGTTGTCCATTATCTTTATAAATATGAAATAAATATCTCTGCATATTAAGTGATTTAACAACCATGAGACGGCTTAATGGATTTATTTTATCCATATAAAAAAAATTTTGTATACTTATTTATTTTATGTTGATTGACAAAATAAAATCGAATAAATGCTCAATTTGTAAACAAAAACAAAATTTATTTATCCACATACATTTTATTTCAAATTTTTTCTTCAAACAATCAACTGTTTTGGGAAGTTCTTTTTAACTACATTTTAATATATATATATAGGAATTATAACAAAAGAATGCGTATATTTTTTAATAAAATGCGTAGATATTTTGTATTATCTTACAACCTTATTTCAACAAATACTCACTAAGATGGTTATACAACATATGTTCATAGTGTTTCAGTTTATATAAAGATGTTTGTAATTTAATGTAATAAATTTCTTGAAATTTTAAGTTGCATGCTTTAAGTATTTTAAATACTTCAAGGATTTTCATATATATGTCACTATCAAGTGATCCGTACAAATAAATAATAAATTTATCCATAAAACGTATTTCGATATTTTTATATATTGTCACAATTTATGAAGTATCAAATTGTTATAGTGTCAACAACTGGAGAATATGTCTAACTATAATAAATATTAATTTTTGTGTGAAAATTCTTGAGTTATAAGTCAAACTTTGTATTGGACAACTTTGTTCTTCTTGCCTTGATTTATTACAAATACTCATTTATAGCAAACCAATTTTAGCATTTCAAACGCCAATCGGTGCATCCAATTAGTATATGTGATTTATTTTTTTTTTAAGGCCACCAAATGCATCAAATAGCTAATTTGCTACATCTTATAAATAAATTAGCATTTCAAGTTTTTACTCATCATTGATTTGTTCAATGATCAAGATGTGATAGAAAGAATATACTACAATTAATTTATCTGTCTACCTGTTTGATTTTTCCCCCACAATACTATGATAATTATATCATCAAAAAGACAGTAAGCAAAGTGTGTAACCAAAATATTTTGAATAAACGCTTCTAAATATTTACTTATAGATAGAAATTTATATCTAATATATATCTCAAATCCTCTGTGAGAACCCATAATGATGTATTGTGATGGATCAATTGTAATATACAATGTGCATCCAAAAGTTAT